CTGGCCTTGACGAACTTCTGTTGGACCAGCGCGACAAGTCAATCCTCACTGTATGTGACCCTTTTATAATCAGATCTCAATCATTTAAACATATGTAGGCGGATGCTACACGACGTCCTGTTCGGCCATTCGATCTCTCTGTATGTGACACTTTCGTGTTCAGTTCTCATTATATCTAAACTTATTCCTTTCAGGCTGATGCTACACGACGTCCGGCCCGTCAGCCAATCATCGTCCCTCAGCGCCGGATACCCCGAGTTGTTTTTGACGACTTACCGGATCGCGCTCATGTACGTCGTTAATGACATATCCAACACTATTTTTCCTGACCTCGATGTTCTCAGGTTTCTGCACGACACCGTCTCCACCCTCGATCATGGGTATCCCATGTAAACACACTTCGTGGCCGGATTTCCTCTTTATTCCGCCCCATACACCCCGATGCCCACGATACGCCATCTCGACCCCGCCCGTTTCACTGGGTTCGAAATCGTTCTCTCTAGCCAGACCAAGCGGTGAAGATATCGAGTTGCACCAACGTCCCTCAGTAGTAGTCGACGTCCCTCATTGCCAGGCCAAAAGGGTATGTCACACACTCACTCCTCTAATGTTCAAGCCCCATCTCATACCACATAGAGGAACGCATCAGCACGAGAAAGGCGCAGGCCAACAATTCCATTGAAGTCTAAGAAACCTGCTGCAAGCACCTCGCGCCCTCCCAATCGCAACACCATACAACAATCTAGTGGTGTGGCTCAGGCTCAGTCATCTTCGCAACTGTATGCCGTCTCCACCTCCACCACATCTTACGCCGTCAAAGATACACCTTCGAGCGCCAATCCGCATGTAACAATAAGACACGTTGGACGCTGGACTCGCTTCTGGCTTTTTATTTGTTGTGCTTCTACTGAGTATACCGATGGTCATCATTAATCGTAGTACCATTCTCTTGTCATTCACATCTGACTGACCACTAGTATGATATTTATCTCATCCCTCGAGTACATACAACAGAGGCATACTTATACACCTGCGCACCAAACCATTTTTAACTGCTAAGTTTGTTGTACTATACAAATTGCATTCACTTCAATGTGAATGGAGACGAAACGAATCAAATGTCATATATTGTGATAGTCTCGGGTCTCGAGCTCGTGTGCTTTGTTCCTCTGACATCAGCAGACAAAAAAGCGCGGCAAGGAAATCGCTGCCAAAGCGTTTTGTGCGGTCTCGCCTTCAAGTCATGACAGGGTTGATTCCAAAGACTTGGACACGTGTTGAGGAAAAGCTGGTAGCTGACCAGTCGACCCGTCGCTGAGCTGCAGATGGCTGATTAAAAAGACAGGCAAGGCTATTATATAGTTAAATGCCAATTGCAAAAAGCGAAGTTCCTTTCTGGGTGAGCGCTAGTGAATACTGAACCGCCGTGCCTGTAACAATAATGAGTAAAATGTTGGACGTTCCATGCTAGGGACCGCTCATGCTCTGACACAACTAAAGACTACTTCCCGCAGCTCTAGGGAATCGCATCATCCGACTGAGGGCGTGATTATCTCCAGGGCTCTGGACCATGGAGAGGAGTTGGGTGGGAAAAGGCAGTTCAAGACGTTTGTAGCGAGGACAACAGAGTGAAGCTGCGTTGGGGAAGATCGTCGCGGATGGAGGTTGTAGTGACGCCGCTGTAGACTGAAGACTGCGACTGATGGAATGTGACTCGTGATCAGAAATAATGCTTGGGCGCTTCAGTTGCACAGCCCATGCTAAAAGCTGTGAAGTGAACACAAGGATGACACATTTAAACTGTACCACTCAGACTTGCAGTGCACTCTTGACCTATACGCCCTTTGGGTCTTGCTGCGGAAGCAGCTGAGCAACATATCATTGTGAGTGAAGATTTTGGACTTTGTTGGATGGAAGCTGAGACGGAACTGCGCCAAGATGTCTGTAATCAGAGTTAAGGCATTAGGGCCGTCACCAATCACACCCTGCCAGAAATTTCAGGGACACACCAGTTATGTCTCTGGCGCCATACATCTGCCAGGCAAAGAACGAATAATGACCTGTTCATCGGACGGCTCGCTGCGGGTATGGAACTTGAAGACTGGCAAACAGATAGGATACGACTGGCGGGATGGAGAAACTAGAGTGTGGACCATAGCGTTGTCTCCAGACGGAAAGAAAGTGGTCAGCGGGAGTGATGATCACGGTGGGGTGAGTTTGTGGGACATTGACACGGGCAAAGTGATTGGGAGATGGATGGGGCATACAGATGGAGTGACTTCTGTCTGTTGGAGTCGAGATGGTCAGCGAGTCTTGAGCGGTGCTCACGATGGGACTGCAAGGCAATGGGATGTAGAAAACGGAGAAACAATCCTCACACCAATCAAGGCAGCTGGGCACTATTTATCGGCAGTCGTCTACTCCCCGGACATGACCTTGTTTGCAACTGGTGGAGCCGAACGCCCTCCGAACTATATGCCAAACACTAGTACTGAAAATGAAAAATCCGTGATCAGAATCTGGAATGCCAAGACAGGCGAACTTGTCGCTACTCTTGAAGGACACACACGTTGGGTGCGGTGCCTGGCTTGGACCCCAGATGGAAAAACGCTTATATCCGGGTCAGACGATTGCTCGATCAGGACATGGAATACTTCAACTTGGAAGCAGATCACACTGTTGGAAGGGCACGCTTACGGTGTCGTTTCCATTGCAATATCTCCCAATGGCCGTATTCTCGCAAGCGCATCATATGACACCACAGCGCAATTATGGAACTTCGACGACAACCAGCCCATCAGTTCGCTCCTCCACCATCCATCTATCGTTCATTCTGTATTGTTTTCAGCAGATGGAATGCTACTGGCCACTGGCTGTTATGACCGAAATGCGTACACTTGGGACATTTCTGCGATTGTAAAAGAAGCTGGTCTCGACGAACTTCTGTTGGACAAGTCGATCCTCGCTGTACGTGATACTTTTATAATCAGATATCACTATTTATTTGGACATATGTATGTAGGCTGATGCTACACGACGTACAGTCCGTCAGCCAATCATTGTCCCCCAGCGCCGGATACCCCAAGGGTTTTTTGACGACTTACCAGATCGAGCTCACGTAGTACGTCGTCAATGTCTAATCCAGTGCTTTTTTTCCTGACCTCAATGGTCTTAGGTTTCAGCACGACCTCGCCTACATCCTCGATCGTGGGGATCACATGTAAGCACTCTTGGTAGTCGGTTGTCCTCTTTATTCCGCCCCATACATTCCGATGCCCAAGATACGTCATCCCGACCCCGCCCTTTCCACTGGGTTCGAAATAGACTCTTTGCAAGACAAAGTGGTGAAGATATCGAGCTCCGTGCGCATCCCTCAGCAGTCGTCGATGTTCCGTATGCCAAGGGCAAACGTGTATGTCATTTTCGTCTTTGTCGAGTATCCACACCATCTCATATCACGCCATAGAGGAACGCATGTGCAAGAGAAAGACGGATGAAAATTATTCCATTGAAACCCGGGAACCCTGCCGTAAGCACCGCAGGCCCTCCCAATAGCAACACCACACAACACTCCAATGGTGCAACTCAAGCCCAGTCTTCGCAAGCACAGGCTGCTGTCTCCACTTCTGCCGCACCTCCCGCCGTCGCTAACACAACTCCAAACACTAATCCTCATGCAATGATAAACAACGCTGGACGCTGGACTCGCTTCTGGCTATTTTTTTGTTGTACCTCTCCCGAGTATACCCATGACCATCAGTAACATAAATATTCTGTCTGTTTTCTTGTTTTTCTCTCCCATTTCATCCTTCCAGTACATAAAATGGGAAATTATCAAACACTTCACATACCACGCCTGATCCTATTCTCCGTCAATGTCGACAAGCCTTTACTGATTGGGCAATGGAATCTTCTCAGTAAACGTGTATACTGTATACTAATACCAAAATGAAAATCACTTGCACGAGTGTGCTGCAGAAATGATCCATATGTAGATTGGCTCCGGTCCCATCAAGCGCAAGAATGTGGGAAGTAAATCAGTCCAACTCCAGTTCCACGCTGCACACTTCCCCAAACTGATGGGAAGTCAGCGAATGAGTTTGCTGACATCAATGGTGTACTTGCCTACAAGCCGCCAATGCTTCTGAAAACGTCTCGTAAGCGCGACCTTCTCTCCAACCTTAGTACATGCGGGCAAAGCCTCTTTCACGCTCAACACCCGTCCACTAGTCGAATCAATGTTAATAAGCAGGAGCTCGTTCTTGGTGACTTTATTTGTTTCTTGTCCTGTGTACGAGCGCCCAGCAAATGACGGATGAGGAACAGACTGGATTCAAACTCTATATTCTCTTTAGAACACGCCAGCATATCGAAAACGAGGATTCTCACCGCTGTAGACCTTTGCCAGCACTTGACTAACGAGATGATCCGTTCTGCACAACGTAGGATCAATCTTGGTCCCAACGCCGATCAGCCCTCCGCAAACTGCAAACTGCAAGTGATTCTTCTTAGCGTGCAGAGAAACGATCCTGCTAGAAACAGGCTTGCAGCGATAGCTATGCGCTTTACGATGTATTCGTTGGGAGGGAGTACAGTGACTCCATTGTCTCCGTTGTAGGCTGAAGATTGAATGCCACACGTGATCAGAAATGAGGCTTGGGCGCCTCAGTTGCACAGCCTGTGCTAGAAGCTGTAAAGTGAACAGGAGGATGACACATTTGAACCGTACCACTCAAACTTAAAGCTTAAAGTGCGCTCTTCACCTACATAGCCGCCCTTTGTGTCTTGATACTCATACGTAGGGAGCAGGCGAGGAACATATCGTTGTAAGTGATACTTTGGACTTTGTTGGATGAAGGCTGAGACGGAGCTGCGCCTAGATGTCTTCACCCAGAGTTGGAAGCAAGGAGGCATCAGAGATAAGACCCTGCCAGAAATTTGAGGGACACACCCACTCGGTCTGCGGCGCCATACTACATCTGCCAGGCGGAGAACGGATAATGACTTGTTCATGGGATGGCTCGCTGCGGGTATGGAACTTGAAGAGTGGGAAACAGATAGGAGACGACTGGCGGGACGGAGAAACTAGAGTGTGGACCATAGCGTTGTCTCCGGACGAGAAGAAAGTGGTCAGCGGGAGTGATGATGGTGGAGTGAGGTTGTGGGACATTGACACGGGCAAAGTGATTGGGAGATGGATGGGGCATACAAATGGAGTGGATTCTGTCTGTTGGAGTCGAGATAGTCAGCGAGTCTTGAGTGGATCTCACGATGGGACTGCAAGGCAATGGGATGTAGAAAACGGAGAAACGATCCTCACACCAATCAAGGCAGGGCACTATTTGCTGGCAGTCGTGTACTCCCCAGACATGACCTTGTTTGCGACTGGTGGATTCGAACACCCTTGGGATAATACTGGAGATAACAAATCCGCGATTAAAATCTGGAATGCCAAGACAGGCGAACTTGTCGCAACTCTTCAACCGGGACACGTCTCAGATTGGGTGCGGTGCCTAATTTGGACCCCAGATGGAAAAACGCTTATATCTGGGTCAAACAATTGGTCGATTAGGACATGGAATACTTCAACTTGGAAGCAGATCGCACTGTTGGAAGGGCACACTTACGCTGTCAAATCCATTGCAATATCTCCCAATGGCCGCATTCTCGTAAGCACATCGTACGACCGCACAGCGCGATTATGGAACCTCGACGACAACCAGCCCATCAGTTCGCCCCTCCAGCATCTATCTACCGTGCTTTCTGTGTCTTTTTCGGCAGATGGAACGCTACTGGCCACTGCCGGCGCTGACAAAAATGCGTACACTTGGGACATTTCTGCGATTGTAAAACAAGCTGGTCTCGACGAACTTCTGGTGGACCAGCGCGACAAGTCGGTCCTCACTGTACGTGACACTTTTATAATCAGATCCCATTATTTATTTGGACATATGTAGGCCGATGCTACACGACGTCCGGTTCGGCCATTCGACCTCTCTGTACGTGACGCTCTCATGCTCAGTTCTCATTGCATTTAAACCTATCACTTCTAGGCTGGACGTCCGATCCGACAGCCAATCATTGTTCCCCAGCGCCGGATGCCTCAAGGGTTTTTTGACGACTTACCAGATCAACGCTCATGTACGTCGTTAATGTCTAATCCAGCGCTTTCCCCCCTGACCTCAATGTTCTTAGGTTTCAGCACGACATCACCTGCACCCTCGATCGTGGGCATCGCATGTGAATACCCTCAGTATCCAGTTTTCCTCTTTATTCCGCCCCATGCAGTCCGACACCCATGATAGATCATCCCGACCCCGACCTTTCCACTGGGTTCGAAATCGACTCTCTGGAAAACAAGGCGGTGAAGATATTGAGCGTCCCTCAGCAGCCGTCGATGTTCCGTATGCCAAGGGCAAACGTGTATGTCATTTTCGTCCTTGTCGAGTATCCACACCATCTCATATCACGCTATAGAGGAACGCATCAGCAAGAGAAAGACGGATGAAAATTATTCCTCTGAAGCCTGGGCACCCTGCCACGAGTACCTCACTCCCTCCCAATAGCAACGCCGCACAACACTCTAGTGATGCAGGTCAAGCTCAATCTTCGCAAGCACAGGCTGCTGTTTCCACTTCCACTGCACCTCCCATCGCTAACACAACTTCGCACCCGAATCTCGATGCAACGATCAAAAACACTGGACGCTGGACTCGCTTCTGGCTGTTTTTTTGTTGCACCTCTCCCGAGTATACCCATAGTCATCAATAATATATCTCGTCCCTTTTCTTTCCCTTTATGAAGACCTCTCCCATCCCATCCTTCCAGTACATACAGTGGAAAATTATCGATCACTTCACATGCCACGGTTGATTCTATTATTTGTTGTTGCCAACAAGCCTTCACTAGTGCACTGATCAGGAACGCGAATCATTCCAATAAACGTATGTACTACTGAAATGAAAAACACTTGCATTTGCGTGCTGCAGAAATGATACATGTGTAGATTGGCTCCGGTCACAGTCACATCAAGTGCAAGAATGTGGGACGCGCATCAGTCCAACTCCAACACCGTCCCGCGTTGTACACTTCCCCAACCTGATGGGAAGTCAGCTAATGAGTTCGCTGAGTTCACAGAAACACTTGCCTACAAGCCGCCAGTGCTTCTCAATACGTCTCGAAAGCGCGACCTTTTCTCCAACCTCCGTACATGCGGGCGAAGTCAACTGGATCTTCGCGAGATCTCCTTTTACACTCAACACCCATCCACCAGTCGACGTTGACCCGATGTTAATCAGTAAGAGCTCGTTCTTGGCAAGTTTCGAGACTTTTGTTTGTTTCTTGTCTTCTGCACGAACTCCAAGCAAACGGCGGAGAAGGAACAAACTGATTTCAAGATCTAGATTTTCTTCCGAACGTGACACCATATCGAACAGGAGGATGCTCACCAGTATAGACCTTCGGGAGCTTCCCCACCGTGCCCAGCACTTGACCCACAAGACGATCCGCTCTACGCAATGTAGGATCAATCTTGGTCCCAACGCCGATCAGCCCTCCTGGAAATGCAAACTGCAAGTAATTGTTCTCCGCATGCAGAGAAGAATCCTGCTGAAAATCGGCTTGTGGCGATGGGTATGCGCTTTACGATGTATTCGTTGACAGCGTCGATGTTGTATTTCAGTTGCATAGATATCGTGTCTGTTACGAGAATGAGTACAAATATAGAATAGTCCATGCCACTGAGGACGCACCCTTGACGAATGCAGCGATTGATTTTTGGTGTGCACGAGACTTGACTACCTTGTTCTGCAAAATAATGATGTTTTCCAGCTTCATGATCTCGACCGCAGCCAAGTGCATGATTCGTTTTCTGCGATCAAAAGACACTGTCCATGACTGCGGCACCGTTGAGTATGGTAGACATTAGAATACCGTAACCAAGGCAGTCCACGAAGGAAACATGGCAAATTAGTTTCATCCTGTGACCGCATCCTGGCCGTTCGCACGGAGGATTATCTTGTCTGAGTGATACGATCGATAGCAGCCTGGGTGGGGACATGCCTCGTTCTCGCATTTGTAGATCTATGATGGAAGATTAAAGGCGGATCAGATGTGAATCAGAATATACATACTTTTGCATTTGCGTAACACAACCTGATCGTGATGTTACGAATGGGCTCGCTTTTGAATCGTACAGTCATGACGCCCGATATGACCTTCACCACTGTCGACTCTGTTTGAATTGTCTCTGCAGAGACAACCAATGGCTAGATTATAGGTACTCGCAGAACTCTGCGTGCCCAAGACCTAGAAGGATCCCTCGATGAATCGCTTCAAATAAAGGAAAGCTGCTTGCGCACCTTTTTTGATATTACTTGGGGTGAAAGTGGGCGTCAGCTTCGTGATATCTATGTCACCTTTTGCGAATCCCCCCTCTTTTTCAGAGTCTCATTCTTGGTGATGTTTCTTCGTCTGACATTTTCTGTGATCAAGGGAGGAGGTCGACGCTTTTCAGCTGTCACTCGAAAAAGTCCTAAATCTGAATAGTATTTGAATAGTTCATGCTGCGCTAATCAAACAACATCGGATGTGATCTTATTACCATCATTAGTCCCTTCAAGGAAATGTAGAGAAAGCGCCGTTGAAAACTCCAAGTCCAACGAGCAATATCTGCTGAGGGCGAACATTTCCTCGGCTACTTTGCTGCTCTGAAGTGGTGATCCGGCGATAAAGCTATAGTGCTATACTCATGCTTGGTGACTTTGTGTCCATATTTGTGAGGGTGTGTTGTGCCTTGAGCAGATGGGCATCGAGCACCGGGCACCTTCAGGGAGCAGTTGGGTAGGGAGAGGCAGTTTAAGATGTTTTGAACGAGGATATCGGAATGAACGTGCGTTGGGCAAGGTTGTAGCAGAGCGCATGAAAGGTATGCGGGGACTCCGTTGTAGACCGATTGTGACTGATGCAATGTGACTTGTGATCAGGGATGATGCTTAGGCGTTTCAGTTGCACAGCCTATGCTAGAAGTGAACACGACGACGACACATTTGAACCGTACCGCTCAAACTTGCAGTGCACTCTTGACCCAAACGTCCTTTGTGTCTTGCTGCCAATACGGGGGGAGCACCTGAGAAATATACCATTGTAAGTGAAGATTTTGGACTTTCAAGTTGTTGGATGAAAGCTAAGACAGAGCTGCGCCAAGATGTCTTTAGGCAGAGTTAAAAGGAAGGAGGCATCAGCGATCACACCCTGCCAGAAATTCGAGGGACACACCGATTGTGTCTATGGCACCATAAATCTGCCAGGCGGACAACGGATAATGACTTGTTCATGGGACGGCTCGCTGCGGGTATGGAACTTGAAGAGTGGCAAACAAATCGGAGACGAATGGCGGGACGGAGAGAGTGAAGTGTTGACCATAGCTTTGTCTCCGGACGGGAAGAAAGTGGTCAGCGGGAGTGAGGATGGTGGAGTGAGGTTGTGGGACATGGACACGGGCAAAGTAATTGGGAGATGGATGGGGCATACAGACAGAGTGAATTCTGTTTGTTGGAGTCAAGATGGTCAGCGAGTCTTGAGTGGATGTACCGATGGGACTGCAAGGCAATGGGATGTAGAAAACGGAGAGACGATCCTAACACCAATCAAGGCTGGGCACTCTTTGTTAGCAGTTGCCTACTCCCCAGACATGACCTTGTTTGCGACTGGTGGAGCCGACCGCCCTTGGGATGACACTGGAGATAACAAATCCGCGATCAAAATCTGGAATGCCAAGACGGGCGAAAAGCTTGTCGCTACTCTTGAAGGACACACAGATTGTGTGCGGTGCCTGGTTTGGACCCCGGATGGAAAAACGCTTATATCCGGGTCAGACGATTTCTCAGTCAGAACATGGAATACTACTTCAACTTGGAAGCAGATCGCAGTGTTGGAAGGGCACACTTCCGGTGTCTTTTCCATTGCAATATCTCCCAATGGCCGCATTCTTGCAAGCGCATCGTACGACCACACAGCGCTATTATGGAACCTCGATAACAACCAACCCATCAGTTCGCCCCTCCAGCATCCATCTCACATGTTTTCTGTGTTGTTTTCGGTAGATGGGAAGCTACTAGCCACTGGCTGTGAAAACAAAAATGCGTACACTTGGGACGTTTCTGCGATTGTAAAAGAAGCTGGTCTCGACGAACTTCTGTTGGACCAGCGCGACAAGTCGGTCCTTGCTGTACGTGACACTTTTTTATTATAATCAGCTCTCACTATTTATTTGGACATGTAGGCTGATGCTACACTACGTCCAATCCGTCAGCCAATCATTATCCCCCAGCGCCGGATGCCCCAAGGGTTTTTTGACGACCTGCCAGATCACGCTCACGTACATCGTTAATGTCTAATCCAGTGTGCTGTTTTTGCTGACCTCAATGTTCTTAGGTTTCAGCACGACTTCGCCTCCACCCTCGATCGTGGGCATCGCATGTAAGCACCCTTGGTAGCCGGGTTTCCTCTTTATTCCGCCCCATGCATTCCGATATTCATGATGCGTCATCCCGACCCCGCCCTTTCCACTGGGTTCGAAATCGACTCTCTGCAAGACAAAGTGGTGAAGATATCGAGCTCCGCACGCGTCCCTCAACAGTCGTCGATGTTCCGTATGCCAAGGGCAAACGTGTATGTCATCTTTGTTCTCTTCGAATATTCACACTCATCTCATCTCACGTAGAGGAACGCATCAGCAAGAGAAAAACGTATGAAGATAATTCCATTGAAACCCGGGAACCCTGCCGCAAGCACCGCTTTCCCTCCCAATAGCAACACCACACAACACTCCAATAGTGCGACTCAAGTTCAATCTTCGCAAGCACAGGCTGCTGTCTCCGCTTCCACCGCACCTCCCGTCGCTGACACAACTTCGCACCTCAATCTCGATGCAACGATCAAAAACGCTGGACGCTGGACTCGCTTCTGGCTGTTTTTTTGTTGTACCTCTCCCGAGTATACCCATAGTCATCAATAGCATACCCTGTCCCTTTTCTTGCCCTTTATGAAGACCTCTCCCATCCCATCCTTCCAGTACATAAAATGGAAAATTATCGATCACTTTACATACCACGGTTGAATCTATTGTTTGTCGTTGCCAACAAGCCTTCACTGATCGGGAAAGCGAATGATCCCAATAAACATATGTACTACTGAAATGAAAAACACTTGCATTTGCGTGCTATACATGTGTAGATTGGCTCCGGTCACATCAAGTGCAAGAATATGGAACGTGAATCAGTCCAACTCCAACACCGTCCCGCGTTGTACACTTCCCCAACCTGATGGAAAGTCAGCTAATGAGTATGCTGAGTTCACATAAACACTTGCCTACAAGTCGCCAATGCTTCTCAATACGTCTCGAAAGCGCGACCTTCTCTCCAACCTCCGTACATGCGGGCGAAGTCAACTGAATCTTCGCGAGATCCCCTTTTACACTCAACACCCGTCCACCAGTCGACGTTGACCCGATGTTGATCAATAAGAGTTCGTTCTTGGCAAGTTTCGAGACTTTTGTTTGTTTCTTGTCTTCTGTACGAACTCCCAGCAAACGGCGGAGAAGGAACAAACTAATTTCAAGCTCTAGATTCTCTTTAGAACGCGGCAGCATATCAAAACCGAGGATGCTCACCGGTATAGACCTTCGGGAGCTTCCCAACCGCGCCCAGCACTTGACCCACAAGACGATCCGCTCTACACAATGTAGGATCAATCTTGGTCCCAACACCAATTAGCCCTCCTGGGACTGCAAACTGCAAGTGATTGTTCTCCGCGTGCAGAGAGACAATCCTGCTGAAGATCGGCTTGCAGCGATTCCGGCCCTGAGTGTCTTTCGTCACAATTCCCGGACGAATCTCGACTTCTTGCCCTAGCCGTAGGACGCCTGTGAGGATAGAGCCACCGGCGACGCCGCCCTTGAGTTCATCGACCTCGGCACCAGGCTTGTTGACGTCGAAGGAACGGATGACAATGAGACGGGGATCGGAAGTGAAGTCCCGGACTGGGATAGGTATGCGCTTTACAATGTATTCGTTCACAGCGTCGATGTTGTATTTCAGTTGCGCAGATATAGGAACGATAGGTGACGACTCGGCCACCGTACCTGTTAAGAGAATTAGTACGATATGGAATGATACATGCTACCGTGGACGCACCCTTGACGAATGCAGCGATTGATTTTTGGTGCTCAAGAGCCTGGGCTTCCTTGATCAAGTCGACCTTGTTCTGCAAAATAATGATATTTTCCAGCTTCATGATCTCAACTGCAGCCAAGTGCTCCGATGTCTGCGGCTGAGGACATGTTTCGTTTCCTGCGATCAGAAGAAGAGCAGCGTCCATGACTGCAGCACCGTTAAGCATGGTGGCCATCAGAATGTCGTGACCAGGACAGTCCACGAAGGAAACATGGCGAATGAGTTTCATCCTGTGACCGCATCCTGGCCGTTCGCAGGGAGGATTGTCTTCCTTGTCTGAGCGATACGATCGATAGCAGCCTGGGCGAGGACATGCTTCGTTCTCGCATTTGTAGATCTATGATGGTGGTTCTCGAGATTAAAGATGGAACAGATGCAAATCAGAAGGAACATACTTTTGCATTTGCATAACCCAACTTGATCGTGATGTTACGAACGAGCTCGTTTTTGAATCGTACAGTCATGACGCCTGATATGGCCTTCACCACCGTCGATTTTCCGTGTGCGACATGACCGATCGTTCCTGTAGAGATAACTCAATGGCTAGATCATATGTACTCGCAGAAGTCTGCGCACCCAAGTTAATTGTAGCCTAGAAGGATCGTGGTCAATGAATTGCTTCAGATACAGGAAAGCTGGTTGCGCACCTGTTTCGATATTACTTCAGGCGAAAGTGGCGTCAGCTTCGTGATATCTATGTCAATCTTCGGGACATCCTCCAGCTGTTCCTCCTCTTCTTCAGAGTCTGATTCTTCGTGATGTTTTTGCAGAGTTTCTTCGTCTGACATTTTGTGTGGTCAAGGTAGGAGGTCGGTCGGCGCTTTTGAGCTGTGACTCGAAAAAGTAAATCTGAATAATAGTGGATCATGCGTTAACCCTAATCGAGCAACTCATTGATTCTCACTTTCATGCATGTTTCTCCAACGAAATCATGAACAACGTCCACTTCCCAGTTCAAGTCGTGGCTTTATTTCGACGTCTCATCAATGTCATGACTACCTTTTCATTATCTAACCAGTACCTCATATCAAGAGTCAGAGCCGAAGATACCCCCAGTCACACACCCGAAGTCCACACCACTTCCCATGACACTTGGTGGAACCCGTTGTCTCCGAATAAGTGGGACTGGCTTCGTATAGGGTTACTTGTGAATAATGCTTTAGAGCAACCAACCAAACGCCTGACTCCAACGCTCCCTCATTGGACCTCGAAAGGCAAGTTACTACGTTTGGCGTTCACCAGTGTTCACCAGACTCATACAGTCGTCCATAAACAGGCCGATGCTTCTTCAAGGACGATACTAAGTCATCGCCTCTAAATTTATCCCCTCCTGATTCGAAGGTGTCATCTGAGTCTCATACCACCGCTCTTGACACATCTTCTATCAATTCCAACTTGCCGCAGGGGAAATTACCGCCTCAAGAACCATCCGAGGGTGATTCCACTGACACCATTCATCGCTTACTGCGAAATCCAACACTGTATGACCCGATCAGAGCCCCTAGGTTTCCGATTGTCCTCTGCCACGGTTAGTTCATCTTAATTGGTTCAGTTAGAGTGAACCACACATATTGATCCATAGGGCTATACGGATTTGATGTGCGAGGTCCTGCTGCATTTCCCAGTCTCCGAATGCACTACTGGGCCAATGTCCTCAACATTCTCAAGAAGAAGGTCGGAGCAGATGTTATTGTTACAGCGGTACCCGGGTACGGTCATCAAGCTTGGTATTGGACTATTTCTGATTTTGTATATATACTTAGAACGGGTTCCATAGCGTCGAGGGCAGAAAACCTTGATCGATTACTCCAAGAGAAGGCTAGAGGACGAGGCGTCAATCTCATGGCTCATTCCATGGGAGGTCTCGATTGCCGCCATCTCATTACACACGTGCAGCCAAGTGAATATATCCCATTATCCCTGACAACAATCAGCACTCCCCATAGAGGAAGCCCCTTCATGGACTGGTGTGCGGTAAGTTCCAACGTTTTACTCTTACTTTGCAGTGCATTCACTTCAACGCCAAGGCAAATATCGGCCTCGGAAGACGACCTCAGGAAGAAATATTCAAGAAAACGACCGAGATTAAGGAGCAGTCTATGTCGGAAAAGGGGACGAGCACTGAGAAGCGCGAGACTTCATTCTCCTTGTCACTGGCTTCTTTGCCATCTTCTTTCACAACGCTCTTGTTGTCCATCCTGGACTCGCCTGCATATGCCAACTTGACATCTTCCTACCTCAACAACGTGTTCAATCCCGCCACCCCTGATGATCCACGTGTCAAGTATTTCAGCGTCACTGGACGTATCGCCGACATGAGCATTTGGCACCCGCTTTGTCTCCCAAAGATGGTGCTCGATGAGTTGGAACAAGATGCAAAGGAGCGCTTCAAGCGGCAACACGCCAACTCAGGGGCTACATGTGCACCTCTGACATGGGAGCATGACGACCAGTGGGGAAACGACGGCCTCGTAACCGTGCAGAGCGCAAGGTGGGGCGAATTTCTCGGGACAATGGAGGGCTGCGATCACTGGGAGATCAGAGGTGCCCGGGGGTTGGAATTCAATGTCGACTTGCCGTCTGTGCCCTTGACGAGCTTAGCGGGTCGCGTCGGTGCAGATGGGTGGGCGTTTGGCGACTGGTCGAAGTTTATTCGGGCATGGAAGAAGCAAGAGAATGGGTATGAATTTGCTGGTGCTGGAGGATCTTCGATGTCGTCATCGAATCCGAGAGTCTCCCGAGGGACTAGGGAGGAGATGCGCAAGGAGGGAGAAAGTGACCCCGTTGTGAAAGCGTCGACGGATAAGCTCTCGGCCGTGTTCGATTGGATCATCGATCAGGTCCCATCGACGAGCAAGTCGTCTCGCCCTGGAGACACTTCACAGAAGCAGAAGGTCAAGAAGTCTGTCAAGCACGAACTGGCCTCCAAGTTGGATCTGGAGAGATTTTATGTTGCATTATCCCGGAAGTTGTATGACGAGGGGTTGTAGATCAATATCGAATGTAGTCTAGTCTATTATATTGAAGACGTAGCTCTGCAAATTCGCCGCACAAGTCGACCTAGCAGTTGCAGTTAGGGTAGGCAAGTACTATAGATCTCTTTCATCCGGGCTAAAACATATAGTGACATTCCGATCACCTAATGTGCGGAGATTCCGTTGCTATTCCACGTTAAAACCATATGCATGAAAGACAAAACAAAACAATAAAAATTCAATCAACGACAGTGAGCGGCAACGACAAAGACGTCAGGGTGCGCATAAGGACGAACGAAGATGGTAAGGTGGTAAGAGCATAAGAAAATAAACAAGCGAGACAATCTTACAACACACTGATCAAGCCAGCATCATTTCTGATTAAACCCGTCTTTGTCTCCACCTCCAGGAAGTACTCGAGTGCTCTCCTGGCCTTCCTCTCCATCTCCTCTGCGTTCTTAACTTCTTTGCCTCTCTCTTCCATTGCAGCTCTGAAGCGCTCCCTGAGGTCCCAAGATGCCATGCGCAAAACCTTCCGTGTCTCCCTGCTGACACGGCCAGCATGGGCATTAACGAAGAGTTCATTCTCGGTTGTGTTCTCGTCAACGGCAACCAGGGATGTACGGATGCGGCGACCGATGGTGCGTGGAATAGTGTTGGGTAGTTCAAGAACGAAGTAGCCAGTTGCACCTATAACGAAAGCGCCCAAAAGAGGAGCCGCCCATTTCCTTGCAGTTTCGTTTCCAAACAACTCAGAAATGCGTACGATACCATCGATAATGCCTCGGGCACCAAATGTCTGACCACCAACCATTGTTAGTGCACCGACGCCAACGGAGACGACACTGAGCGCAGTAGTAGGGCTGGTCTCATCCTCTGCTTCTTTCTTGTCATCAGCAAACTGAAGCCAGAGTCGGTGGAAGTCAAAGATATCGAGGGCAGACGTGTCTAGCATGTCCGGGCGCTGGGAGAGACCAATGCCAAGATTGTGGACCCCTCCAGCCACGACAGCGGTGGCCGTTGAAGAGGAACGGCGGCGGAGTCCCTTCTTGCCTGGACGCAACGAGAACATGGCCTCGGGCATGAATACCCTTCGGGACTTCCCGACTCCTTCAGGAAGATTGGCGTCGCCAAGCTCGCCGATCTTCTTCACCCCTGCAGAAGCAGTGGCGCGCGCTTCATCCTCAGCTAACTTCACAGCTGCATCCAAGCTTGCCAACAAAGCCTTCTTTACGTCTCTGGCATAATCCCAAATGCGAAGGAATCCAGGGAAAGCTGGCAGGGAAATAGTAGCATGATTAATGCCAGGCAGGCCTTGTCCGACGCGCTCGATAGCAGAGGAAAGGATGGCTTTTGTTCTGGCACTCGTCTTCTCTGCCCCTAATTCCTCCACAGACTCCAGATTTTCTTCCAATAATTCTTGGCTGCCCTTCATCTTCTCAAGAACTGGCCTGACACGCGTCAAATCATCTTGAGCGCGGTCAAGATCAGATTGGGCAACGATGGCATTTGCGCCAACCAAAAGATCAACATCAGATAGGAGGTTGGAGAGGTAAGTTGCGACAGGCTGGAGCTTCGATTTGGAGCGTTTGACGAGAACGAACGAACGAAGCGAGGATTCCAGGTCGTCGAATGCTGGGTTGGCTGTGTACGGTCGGAGAGCAGCGGCAGAATCAACGAAGTGGACAAGGTCTTCAGCGTCCTCATACGTCCCAGGGCTCAGTTGCTTGATTTGCTCCAGTACCAACCTCTTGCATTTCTCCTTATTTTTGATATGCTCGAACTTGTTCACGACAATGAAAAGGTATGCCTTCTCGTTACTAGCGTTCCATAGGAATTCCTTGGAGGACAAGGTGAAGTGGTTTTCGGCGGAAACGACAAAGACAATGACGTCAATCTCCTCCTGACGAGTGAAGAGAGCCGTTGTCTTCAAACTATCGCGGTTGAGACCGGGTGCATCAATTAGGGATATATCAACAACCCCATTATTGAGCAATGATTCCGATGGTGCCCGGCTGTCAGAAAGGTATATTTTCAAGACTGGCTGAACACCCTCATTGTCTGAGACAATCGTCTCCAAGTCTGCAAGCGAAGCGCGAGTGAAGGTCGACTCATCCGAGATGCTATACACCACACCCTCCTTGATGATATGAACTTCCTCCTTGCCATTATTCTCAGCAGCATCGTGCACTTCGCAAAAGGCGGTTGTGCAGGGCTGCTGGTCAATTGGCATCACCTCACGCCTAAGAAGGGCGTTGACAAAAGTGGATTTTCCAGAATTAAGGTCGCCGGTGACAAGAACCTTCGATGAAGTGTCCTCCACACGAAGGCGGAGCTTATCCATATGATTGACAGAAGCACCGATACGTTCGTCCAATAAACTGGCAATAGAACCTTTTTCGAGGTGTGATACGAGAGCGGCGGGGGATGTGGTCGAGCCATGGGGGCCGAGCTTGAGGTCCAGACGAAGGATATTAAAATCTCCATTCTGGGACGACAGCATCAACTTCTCCGCCTCGCATGTGTCCCGTTCACCCTGACTCGTGCCTTCATCCACAGGCTTGACATCAGTACCTTCCGGGGCATCGGAAATTGATGCAAGTGTGACAGCTCGGGTCAGGCCCTCCCGCACAGGAGTATAAAGGACTTCTGTTTGGTTGTTTGGATCATCTGCGAACGAAAGCGAACGGCGAAGAGAGCGACGGGGCTTTGTCCTTGATGACGATGAAGGCTCTGCGGAGGGTTGCTCGTGTAGAGTGGGGTACCTTACCACCCACTCCTCCTTGCTGAACCGACGCAGTTCCCCAAGAATAGACTTGGAGGAATCAAGGGCCTGAATCAGACTGCCCGACGCATCAGAAAAACATAAAAAAGTAAGGAAAGGTTCCAAACAAACCGATCCTTTTGTTCGATGTAGGCTTCTTGAACATCCTCCACCTTCAAATGCTTCTCACCACCATGATTTGAAACCAAAGGCTCCTTCGCCAGCGATGAAGATGACCGAGCTGGGGCGGAAAAGTAAGACTGAGCCATTGCAATAAATGGCCTTTGTGGCTCCAGACTACTTGAAACGTCGAGCACAAGTGAAATAGTGAGCTGTGTGTGAGTTCGACGCTGGTCGTCAATATCAATGATGATGCGTGTTTGGCCAGCCGCTGCGCTTACTCAGCTGTTTCCGGTTCTCCCCGACTTCCATCAACATTAATCATGGGACTTAAGCTTCAACCGTTTACTGGCAACTTGCAAGCACTACTGCTTTACTTCGCAGGTTCTAGTGGCTTTGCAGCATCTGTTACTTATCGAGGACGACGATTTCGATGTAAACTATGCAGGCACTACCCAATACGGTGACAATTGGACGGTGTTTTGAGACGGTATTATTTTGTTCTCCCACTTTGGTTCGATGAAACTCACAAAAATATGGTTTAGGGAATTGCAAAATTTATTTGCAAGCTACAATCAACAAGACATACATGGATGATACCTTGCGCTGACCTATATTCGCCGGTGTTTTACTTGTGAACCTCAAACTCAAGGCCAGGAATTTGAATTTACCTGTCATTGCCATCAACCATGAGGCAGCGATAGCTTATGCGCGATACATTCGCAGTGCTGACTTATCCCACCAGTTTTATTATCTTCCGGTGTTCTACTCTGGCGCGGAGGATACCACTCTCTCGGTTACGAATGATATTGGAGCTGGGGTCGAGGACAGTGCTTAATGAAGTTGATCATGCCAAGAGATAACCATTCATTTCCGCATACTCAGGCATAGTGTGGTGGGCACATGTTGACATGAGAATTTCTCATTAATGAATGTCGGCAGAACAGTGAACCTTCTGCAGCTATCGGATGAGTATCTTCTTCTACACTTTGAATCTGATGATCCAGGCCTCCTTGTCGTTGCCTTACTGATTGCTATTCTTGTTTCCCTGTGTATCCCATGCCCCCCTTGTGATTCCCCAGTGGTGAGCATTTATAGGACAGTTCAGCTGATGGTCCTACATAGTCGGGAAGAATTTGAGAACAGGAAGGACGGTGACTGCAATTCGGTTTCAAATCAAACTCTTTCTATTTCATGCATCGACCATCTCAGTTTGAGTTCATTTTCGATCACACCCGGACCGCCGACTAAATATCGTTGCTTCGAGAACGGTGACCTTTGAACAACTTCTGATGTCAGACTTCCATGCGATGTCTGCGGGATATTCTTTCCAGAGACAGCTGGGTAGTCGCTGAATATTCGTGGAATACAAGACCTCCTATAATTAGTTATTCCAATTTGAAATGTGGAAGTCCGGACCATTTTGAATCCATCTACGCTCACATAAGCAGTTTACAGGGACAACGAGAAGATGCTCGTTCATACCATGACGCCCAGCGCTACTCTGATGTCGAAAATGCACGCCGTTTTAATCAAAGACGGGCACGGTCCCATAGAGAACCTCTACATTGGGGAGACAGATAAGCCGGTCCCAGCAAAGGGAGAGGTTTTGGTAAAGGTTCGTGCCTTTCCTCATCTTATGGATCTACGTGAATGTTCTTGGTAGATCGTCGCATTCGGCCTTAATCGCATGGACCATTACCAGCGTCAGGGTGGCTACCCTATTCCCCCTGGCGCTTCCTCCATTCTCGGTGTGGAGTTCTCTGGACGTGTGACTGAACTTGGCGAAGGAGTAACAAGATGGGTTGTTGGGGATGAAGTATTTGGTCTCGTGGGCGGCGTTAGTCGATTGCCGCAGTCAAAGTGTATGTTCTTCACTGACTAAAACTGTCACGGCTATCTCAGGGAGCTTATGCGGAGTTCATAAACTGTGACGAAGGACTCTTGTTGAAGAAGCCCGGTCACTTATCTTGGGTGGAGGCAGCTAGCATACCAGAAAACTATATCACAGGTGAGTACGGCAGATCAGCCAAGCGGTTGGCTTCGGTTCTGACTGCTTTGGGATCATTCTTAGCTTATCAAGCTCTTGTGAAGTACGGGGAAGTCAAGAAGGGCGATCATGTACTCGTTCACGCAGGCGCTTCTGGTGTAGGCATTGCGGCAATTCAAATAGCAAGGGAATTAGGAGCGTGAGTGTTTTTCACCGGTCTTCAGTTTCCCGGTCCTCACTGCCTTCGATACTTTTCTTCCTTGCGGTTCTACACGTTCTTGCTGAATACGTATCACGTCGTTGACAGGGCAACCGTTACTGCAACGGCGTCTACTGCAGAAAAACTTAATTGGCTGCGCTCCATTCCTAACGGGGCGACACATACCGTCAATTACAGAACTGAAGACTTTGCCGCGGAGGTCAAGAAAACCACCAACGGCAAAGGCGTCGATATCGTTATAGATTTCGTTGGACAAAGTCATTGGGCCAAGAACGTGGAATCCCTCGCTATTGATGGTAGGATGACGATATTGGCTGCTATGAGTGGTAGGCATTTGTTGTGTCTCGAAGTCCAAAAACTCTTGACTAAGTGGTTGGTTAGGGAACGAAGTCTCCACAGTCAACCTTGGCCCGATCATTTACAAGCGTCTCCGCATTCAAGGTTCCACGCTACGCTCCCGTAGTGTACAGTACCAGACCGAGCTCATCACAAGGTTCTGTCACGATATTGTCTGATGTGATTCACTTCCAGACTAACTCATCTTATTAGCTCGATTTTCCGTGATATAATCGATAAGGTAACTGGTGTCAACGGAGGTGGCCCGATACGGACTTACATCCACAAAGTGAGTATATTCTTCTGCTCTTCTGATGCCGTCGGACACGGACATACAATTCCACAGGTGTATCCTTGGACAGAGATCCAAAGTGCTCATCATGAGATGGCCGACAATAAGAATAGGTGAGCACTCTGTTTCCATCGGAAGATCTAGCGGAGGCCGAGACTTCATTGTTAGCGGGAAGATTATCGTTGAAGTTCGATAGAAACCCGAACAGTGTACTAGCCGATATCGGGTTCCAAGAATTTGCCAGCTCTTCGCTTGATTTGACCGCTTATATCTATGCATAAATTTTTCCATGACATGTGAGGTAGGCAGTGCGAGACGGAATCAATGGTTGCTGTTAGTCATATTCGTTCATTGGACGTGAATGTGGTGTAAAGTTTGGAGGAGTCATCGGATGTCAACGTCCGCTTGCTACAAATAGTGCAAGAGTGATTGATATACAACGAGCCCCAAATCAAGCCGATCATAGGAACAACGGGGCTCTCCGGAATCCAATCGTTCAATTTTCAAGGGTCAAATCTAGTATGTGCTAGTGTGCGCCCTTACATGTAACGATGGTTCGCTGCCTTTTCACTGCTATTGTCAGACTCGACATGGATTCCTCGGGACCTCGGTATCGAGTTGTGTTACGCTGCCAAGGAGGTTTAGGATTTGGGCGAGTCTCAAAGAAGGGTATATTCAGTGGGCATCCTAACTTTCATGACTCACTGTACGATACCACTCCAGTACTAGTCCAGGTAAGTGCCAGGCACAGAATTGGCCAGACAATTGCATTTGTATCACAGAAGAGTGCTAGCAAGAGCGTGCCTTGATCATGAAGGGGAACGTACGTTAGTCACGAGTATCAAACTTACCACTGAATTTGACCAAGATCTGACACTGGATGTATCGGAAGTTCGGACCCACACAGTACTAGCTAGAAATGACGAATGCCCGTGAAACAAATCGGCAATCATAAGTATACCACAACACGTGCCGAATGCTGCGGGGAAAACAAATGAAATGTGAATCCGAAAAGTACTGGAAAAAGAGAAGGGTTCTAACGATGATGAGTCTTCATGACCATTCGAAATCTCCAAGATGGTGGGTGGGACTAGATCTGTACAGCATCGGAGGTAAGAAGTGTGAGAGAATGGGGCGGCAAACGCCGCTCTACGTACACAACGGATCTATGGCAGGAACGAGCGGCAGCCTGTGCTACCCACCACGCTACCTACTCGTTGCGGGTTTCCTCCATTGGTAAACAGCTGCCCTGAGATGAGCGCCAATATTAATAAACTCACGAGCAAGGTTGATGTGCCTTCACGAGCCATTGCGTATCCGTGAGAGTACCCCCTTCCTTTATTCTCGATCGGGCTTGTCACGGTGTCGGTCCCGGCAATCCAGATCTCGAAATCTTTCTTAATTCAATACAGCAAAAGGCGATGAACCTGCTACCTATAAAGAGCCTGCCCCAATGCCTGCTCAGTCATTCAGAAAGCACTCCTACCACCACTCCAGCAGCGTACCAGAACTCCTCCGAGTCCAATAAACATCTCCCATCATGAGCAGCCAATATAACACCTCGAACACTTCGCAAGCTGCCTACGCTTCATCCAAGTCGTACTCGAGCAATCCCAGCTCGCAGTCACCTTCTAGCCATTCAGACTCGTGTGGTCAATCACACTCGCAGTCTTCACAATACTCGTCGCAGCGCACCACCATTCGTGCCGGTGCCAGCACAGTCGTACCAGTGTTCTTCTGACGTGCTGTGGCCCAGAACGTTTTTGCCTAAACGCTAGACGTTACCTCACGCCACATGGCGTTTAACGTTCGCTCTCCGAGCGCGCTCCCATTCTTCGACAACCCCATAATCATACACCACCGTCATAATTTCATCACCACGACCCTCACACTCCCCACCGCGTGCGCTGGGATGTATTGCCGCCTAATCACAATTTAATATGTGCAAAAGAAGATTTGCAGGGAAGGAAGGAGGAGGAAGATCATTCAAATTTCAATCCTGGCCAAATCTAAGTTGTATCATACGGACCATACTTTGATTCACCACAGATCCTACTATGTATTTGGCATTTGGCTTGCTATTTGGTTACAGTAGCTAGTAATTAGTAATTGCTGGAGTTAATTCGATTGTACTCAGCGGGACATTGCAATGCGGTGGCGCTTGTGGATTATCGAAAGCACGGATGCTGCATGTTTATTATAATTGCCTGGCGCCAGAATATCGGAACTTGTCTTGATGCACGTATATGGTAGTATCAAAGACGAGGACACTCAGCCTGTCCGCGAAACGCCCGGCTGTGATGATGACTCCCATAACATGTTGAGTGGCCGCCGATCAGAGACTAGATATCGTCATGTGTGCTGATATGTGATCGTATATAGACAGGGTCTTTGTCATACAAAGTCATACGTGTTTGTGTATAACGTTGAAAAACCACGTAAATGTATGGGGACACTCACCAATTCCCTGATGCCGGCCTTTGCAGTGCATACATAGTACCATGACAGAATGATTGCCGATCAACAACCTCAGGCTGTGCTTTGCCAGGGATCCAAATACGTCAAATCAAGTTTGGCTAAAGTGTTTGTACTGCGCATCGAACCAACATGCGGTGCTGACCGTGGAGACAGGTATCCTAGATGATTGATGATGCATGATGCGCTATCGCGGTTGTTTCAACTTTCTATCGTGTTTCAACTTACTCATCAGGAAATTATCCTGAACGAGTATATGAAACGACACAGCTGACAATGTTTTTTGGTTTTTCTGTGTCATGAAAAATGGGGTCAAGAGCTGAGCGAGAACGCGGTCGAACATAGCCTAAGGCGCTTAGAAATTCTGTGGCACAGCCGAAATTCGCAAGCTGGTCCGAAGCATGGCACGGGCAGCTCGGGGTCGTGGGTTCATTGCCACTCCTTGATGTCCAGGAGAAATAACGTATATTCAACCAGTGTTCGCAAGGGCTAGGCACTCGCAGTCACAGTTTGCCACGTACGCCTGTCATAAATATGCCTGTTTTCAAGCGTCCTTGGTTAAGAGCATCCCACCACTCCAGAATGCAGTCTACAACCTCGTCTTGGCGCTAAGTATATTGTTAGCAGTAGTTACGATGATAAGAAAATCAAGATTCACCTTTGTAAAATTGTGATCGGCCTTTTCTACTAAATGGAGGTTGTGGGTGCCAGGCGTTCTGGCACCAAATGCTCGGGCGTAAATAACCGCATCATATCTGATCAATGAGATTTTTTCCCTATCAGTTCGCAAACACTCACGAAGGAACTGTCTTATCGAGGAGACCATGCATTGTCAGAACATCGATTTGAGCAGGGAATTTGTCCCAAACGATTGCGGTATTCCACTTAGAGAACGCCTCTAGATCTTCTGGATAGACTCTTTCCACAACTGTTTGTCGAGCGACTGTCACGGTCCGCTCGTAGTGACCTTTGAAGTCCCACTGCTCTTTGTAGAGGTCTAGAAATTGGTATAAGATGACCGACCGTCTGGATTTTGAAACTCTTGAGCGTACCGTAAACCCCCTAGTCACAGCTGTTTCAGTCATTTTGCGGCAGGCATGAGGTTATTTCTCTCACATCCATTCGGTAACGACCTGACGCATTGACCATAGCACGAACACGTTGGCCTTCTTCCGACGTGCATAGCCAATGCATCCCGACCACAGAACCACGAGAATGGCCCACCACCGCATCAATCTCGTATCCGTATGTATTCCGGAGGTAAGAAACGACCGTCACGAGGTCCTCAACGTCTCTAGCAATTCCACTTTGTGTCCGTTGGCCCCCACTTTCGTGATTGCCGCTGCTCTATGTGAATGGGGATTGACGCCAAGACGAACGGTTGACAGACCGAAAATCAAATCTGAATGAGTCTATCGGGAAACGTAGTGCAAGACGTTTTTGGAATAGGTAGTCTTTATGACTGGAGTGAGATTAGAAGAGACAAGGAGCAGAAATAGTAGGAACATACCCCATAGTCCCGTGAAGAATCTGGAACATACGTGAGTCAAGTAATTTTGCAAAGACCGGAACGGTGATCAGTATCATACCAGGGCAATCTTTCTGCCCTGCGTGGACTCTTCAGGTGCTAGTTGTTCCAAAATCCCAACCAGCTCGCAATCATCTTGAGAGTGCGGTATACGTAGTTTTGTGGACTTCCTAGTAGCCATCGTAGGTGTGAGGAAAGGCAATATGACAGTGACGAGTGGTTCCGAGTATGACCAAAAAGGAAGGTAGTGTTCACCCAATGGCACTCCGGTTTGCCCGATGTATATACTTACAGCTGAGCAACAAATGAATGACAAGAGGGAAATGCAAACAATGGCGTTTTGTCAGCTGGCAGTATATGCCTGGGGAAAAGGGATACTGAGGTATCTGAACAAGCTCGCAAACAACACCAGTGATACATATCTGCTCGATGACATACTACGCCGCCACCCAGCAGCAGGTAATCACGGTCGACCTGGCTTCTTGCCAATGAGGGCACTCTTCGCACTCTTTACTGGGCCACCTTTTGCAAACTTCACTTTCTTCTTCTCTGCTCCTTCAGTGCTCCGTTTTTGTTTCACCTCCTTCGGAGTAACCGACTTCACAACAACCTCGTTCAGGGGTTTCTTCGTACCTTTGCTCTTGCCCTTGCTAACTGGCACTTCCGGTACATGTTCTTCCGAATCCATGTCTGTGTCTTTGGAATCAGAGCCTTCATCCAACTTGCTCTCCTCAGATGCGTCCTTGGATTGGACCATACCATCCCACCGTCCACCAGTCGCATCTCCGAGTCCGCATGTCCATATCGGTAAGCTGATACTTGAATTCGTCTTGATGTGAAGACTTTGAATGTTATCCCAGTTACCCTTTATATTGTTCACGATGGCGGGAAGAGATATTTTCATGTTATCGAGAATTTTTTCTGGCGCATGTGATAGTAGTCCGATCTTAACGGACCTGACAACCATCGTTGCATCAAGCTTGCATTCAGGAGGTAGGTAAAAAAAACAGACGCACGTGCACGTTCCTCTATTCTGATGCATGTAGCTCGACTCGATGGCTCGTTCTAATTCACCCTTGAGGTCTTTGCGTGTCAAGCAGACCGGGATTGGCTGTCTGTAAGGTAAATTGAGATATGCTCGCGATAGAGGTAGTCTCCAGCAATCTTACTTTTTTGCGTCAAACCACTTCTTTCCCAACAAGCCCGGCAGTAAAGGAATTACACGCTCGTCTGCCAGGAACATTCCATTCTCTTTTAACAGCATTCGCCTAGCTTCATAGGACTTGAATTTGCCCTTGAGTTTTGTGATGCCAACGACCCTTGATACGAATTTGATTTTATGAGACTCGAGAAGGTCTTTGTACTCTCGCTGAGGGTCTTTGGTGATGAGACAGACAGGCGTAACTCGTGGATCGATGAGAGCATGCTTGAGTGGGCTTGGACATGTCACAATTGTACATCCATTGAAAAGTAGCAAAACGTACATTTTGAATGGTTTGATCTTGTGTTCGGGGTGCATCCGCTTCACTGTGATTTGTAGCCACACATATTGCTCGCTGGATGGTAAAAGTTCGGTTTCCTCCTGTTCCTTTTGTTTTTTTGAGGCATATGCATGCAGTGCGTGTACGGCTCGTGTGCACTGTTTCACGGAAACATGGGAGTCGATTAATTCGGTTTTCGCCATGGTGTGCACCCTTGAAGTCAAAATCTATGCAGTTTTTGTTCCGCTACCTTGAGTCCCGTAGCTTAGTCAGCACGTATGTGGCGCGCGTGTGCTGGGATAAGAGGATTAAACTCATCAGTAAAACCTCGGGTCTATTTTCGCCAAAGATTTTGAATTTATTTCTATTTTTCCGAGTTTTACCAGGTTTGAGGAACCATTAAGGTGACACGCAAGACACGATGAGAAAATTGAGAAAAATGCCACTCGTCCTCTGAATTCTACTTTGCAGCTCATGAAAGTCACTTATGAGGCATTAACCGACAAAACAAAGTGGTAATAATAGAGAGCAAACGGTATCACATCATCTGGTGGAAAGTGCAAAAAAGTGATGAAAATGGGAACACAAAGTAAAGTACGAAACATTAGCGAAAAGAAGAGTACGAAATGCTAGCGAAAAGAAGGGTAACGGTGCAAAGAGCGTGAAATGAGACTAAAGACGACGAAAGGCATTACAAGTGGTGGTGGGATAAGCAAAACACGATAGTACTATGAACTTGAATCAATGGCGATGATGGAAGCGGACAGCAAGCATGGCGGGAACGAGATCTATCAAATGATGTTAGCTCATGAATAATGCAAAAAAAAACTGATATTACTAGTTACCAAAGCATGGCACGCCTGTCGATGTCCTCTGATTCGTCGTCATCGTTGAGGCGAAGGTACTTCTCAAGGCCAGCACTGCCCGATTTCTTGAGTAACTTCCGCGCTGTTGAAACCATGTCCCTCAAAAAAATGTCCCCTTTTTTTTACGCTAGACAAGTAAGCTTCGGTTACTGACCCCCAGTTGTTGATGGAAAATGCGTGCTCGGTGGTGCTGTAGTTGCCGGTCCACTTGTTGAGGGTCTTTGGTGTGTGCAGCTTGCACTTCAGTTGTGCAGGACGCATATCGAGGATGTCCACATCAATATCAATGGCACCAGCGCCGAGGCATTTGACAGCATGTTCGAGCTGTCAAATGTGATAAGTCATGATTCTTGTATGGTCAGAATACTTACTGAAGTTGCGCAGAGAGCAAGAACACCAGCCATGCCACTGGCAGCCAATACATCTGTTTTGATGGCGGTGACATGAGCATGTCCAACAATACTGTGAAGATGAGCGGTTGCAAATAACTGTATCATGAAAGGAGACCGGAATGCTTTCATCTTGTCTGAGTAGTCCAAGTCCTCGAAGAGGAACATGAACTCCTCCATAAGCGCTTCACTAAGGTCTTTTGGATTAGTGTCTTCGTTCTGAGCAAAGAAGTCGATCATAATTGCGAGTCCTGTTGAACTGAAGTTGCTGCGCCACTCTGCCAGACGCTGAGTAGCCTTATTGAGATCACAATGAGTTAGCAATAGTGCTACAAAAAAAATTGCTAGACGCACAACACCAAAGACAGATCCCTGAGCGGTCACCTTGTACTGGAGATCTGGATACATGACATCAAAAATGCATTGAAGCACTTCAACAAGAGAGGTATCTGCAAACTGCCAGAGATCATTTTGGCTGCCGGCCCACAGGTAAAGGGTCGAGAGAAAATGTTTGGGCCACCGTTGATCCTGACATTGCGGAGGGAGATCACTGTTCCGGTAGGTTGAGCGTGACTTATATCGCTTCTCGATCCAGTGACCAGGCAATGGAACAAGCACGGGTTTCATATCGTCATCGGCACCTTCTTCAATCTTCACCTTCTTCGCAGGTGGCTTTGCTGTAGCAGCTGCCTCGGAGACAGCGACTGAAGTCTGTTCAAACAAATATGAGTAGCAATAACCGTTAATGAAATAGACTTACTGAAGATGTTACCTGCATGGCCTTCTTCGCGACTGCTCCAACAGCAGCTGTAAGCGGAGCCTCAAGTTCCTCATCTGAGGACAATAAGTGAAACAAGACCTTGCGCTTCTTGTTATTCGGACGGTGGGATGATAAATCACTGCCACCGTCACTGTCCTCGGACATCTTCGCGTCTTCGTTCAGGTTGAAGTCGTCCTCCAGAACCTCCACGTCATTCTCCACATCATCCTCTGCGTCCATCGGATCATTGTCCTTGAAGTCTGTTGGGCCGTCATCCTCGAAGTCTGCCTCTATGTCTGATGGCGTGGAGGCCTCCACGTCCATTGGCACATTGAGATCAGACTGTCCCTTCGAGCCCATTGTTGCATCATCGGTCCTCGTGTTGGTAGTGATCTATATAGTTCACTTTGTATTAGAACCAGTAAGACTACATATGCTCTACGCACCTTAATGAAAGACTTCTTCTCCTTTGTTTTCGAGGCGATTGTTTCAAGGCGTTCCTGGGAATCATCCAAAGTGTCATCGGCAAAGCCGCCAACAAGAACCTCAGTAGCAAGATTGGAAGAGACTTTAGGTTGGCGACTGGACTTGGTATTTACACCTGATACAGATGTAACCTGGGTGCTGGGTGGCCCATGTGCCAATGAGAAAGGGGAGGCAGCGGTGCGAGACTTGGAAGCACTTGAAGCTTTGGACCTCTCATCTGGTGTAACGTCAGATACCCAGCCATTGACACGTCCTACCAATGAAAACTTTAAGTTGGTCGACCTGAATTTTGAGGTTAAGTTAACAAAGAATAGTGTTGATTCAGTAAGCATCAACATGGTTTTGATCAAGTCGAAAAGACATACTTCGCCGCAGTGACCTGCACCAAACTGGTTCGGTGCATGGATGACTAATGCTCTCCCACGAGCCCGATACCCTAGAAATCATTATGAACAATCTTCCTTTACTTTATGGTTCAGACTGTAGTTCAGATAGTATTTTCATTTCTCAGACAGACTCAGATAGGCTGAATATTCTTGTATATTTAATTTTGCGGTAAATTCTGCTTAGTCAGCAATAACAACGACTCAGACTGAATCCCACACATGTCAAGTAACAGTGTAAAATAGTTCTTGCATAATTTGCCTTGTGGGAACTTTCTTAACACTCTAAATACACGGCTCGCGTCATTTCTACGGTCAATAAAGTAACATCATAATAAAACACCAACAAATAACATAATCAGTCTGTTACTTAATATTTGTCACATGATACTAAGTTATATGACTCTAACAGTCAGGTGACCTATGACCCTAAACCAAATCATGACAAAGCAACCTTTTTGAGATGACTAAAGCTTGATGACACAAATTATAAAGCACATGACTACAGTAAATAGTATTGGTACAATCTGACTAAGCCTATTCCCCTTAGAATGTGGGAAATAGCAACACAGCCACCATAATTTATCTATATAAGACCCCACTTTTTGCCAATAAAAATATGCATATAGGGAACTTTTAAGCCCCACAAAATAAATTTGAGTGTGAAGTGTGATCAGTATCAACAACAGTGACAAGAGCCGTTAAGCAACTAACTGAGAGGTCATTGTAAGCAACATCCAGCAATACCTTTAGCTCATCATCAACAACTGTGAAATATCTTGAGCTCACTGTGCTCAACAGTGAGCAAACTTTTTCTTTGATTTTCTACTGGTGAACCTCTAGTCTCTTTCTTTTCTTTTCTTTCTTCTTTCTCTCTTTCTTTTTCTGTTTCTTTGTTTGTTTGTTTGTTTTCATTTGTCTCTTTTTCTGTTCAGTTCGTTCACGTCTCAGTGTTATTGTCTGAATTTGTTTCAAGATCTTTGTGTTGTCTTTACGTCCATCTAAGCACCGGCTTAGTGGGAAGACTTCAGAAGTTGATAGTGACGCTTGACCTCACTCATCTGAGTAGTGATACTGAGCCAGGGTTTTCTTTGTCTGCTAGACTTTAGTTGTTGAATAGGGGACTTGGTACTGAAATCCAAGGACGTCCGTTCCTGATTCTGTTTAATACTCATCGTGAGTTCCTTGGCAGCAGGTTCAATAGTGAACTAAGAGTTCTACTGATCACTGATTAGTCCTGACCTTTGATTCTACCTGTTTGTGCTGAGGGGGTGATTGCTATAATTTCGCACGACTTTCTGTAGTAAATTTATTACAAGAAGCATTGTTACTGAAGGAAGGGTTTCTCTTATCAATCTATTTCTTTCTTTTATCAGTACCATACTGTTGGGCTGACTTTTCTCTGTTCTCTAAACACTGCCATACCGTTGGAGTGAATCAATTTCTGTTTGTCATCACCATACCGTTGGGCTGACTATATTCTGTTTATTTTATTTTCTATTGCATCCATACTGTTGGATTGACTGGTATTGCTACTGACCTCACAGGAAGTACTTTTGTCTGAACATAGCTTGGGGAAGTGTAAACAGCCACCCACGAACAACCACGTTATCAGTCATTGGTATTTGTCTGAATCACTGACCGTGGAGATTTTTGATTTTGTAGGTGTTTATCTATAGATCATCTATCTAAGAAGACAGCGGCAGATAACTTTCCTTTCTTGTCTTCGACATGTGGTTCCTGGCTTCTAATTCCTGGCATTGCGATCAAATCTCGGGCATTGTTGATGGCATCATTTAGTGAGATCTTGCCACGCTTTTGAGTCTTCGACTTCTCACTGATTTCCTCTTGAACATGACCGCTGTCATCTTGAACATAACCACTGTCATCTCGACCACTTTCATCTAGGTCCTCAACAATGTTAGCCCCATGTAAGTGAGCCTCATTTGATGCTTGTGCACTCACCAGCGTTTCCTGTTGTCAGGAGCTTCTTATCAGGCGCCGTTCGCTTCATGACAGGGCGGGCACAAGGTTTCACTGGCTTCGGCTTGTTCACGATGGTGAGTTCCTCCGCCTTTTCCATTTCTTTCTGCATGGCTGCAAGCTGTTGCAGCCCCTCAAGCGCGGCCTGCTCTTGAACTTCGCGTGATTCCTTGAGAATCCGGTTGTCCTCTGCTATCTGGGCCTTAGTCCATCGCTGACGTCCTTTTGCTGGCAGGTCAGGCAAGCCTGGATGCTTGTTTGCGTTCTGTGGGTGAGTGCGTGACTTCTGAGCAGTGTCGGACATTGCTGACGAGGAGCGGATTTGACAGGTTCTATGGCAAGCTTGGGACGGCCAGGGAAATGTAATGAGTGGTCGGTAGAATGGTTGAAGTTGAAAATTGACAACCAATTTGTAAGTTCCGTACTTAAGAGCTAACCAAACAAAGTTCGATCGCTAATTCAATTCACTACTAGCAGGACTCTCTGGTCTGCGCACCTGTAAAGTTGTCCAAACCATCAAGTAAGTCCTGCATTATTCTGTCTTTTTGCGCCATACTTACTTCAAATGTCTACACTTCCAGCTGGTCACATCAACTAGATGCATTCTTCGGCTGGCCTGAGCTCAGTCACTTGGAAATCCACTCAACGAAAATGCAGGTATCGATTTATTTCAGCCGCACACTCTTATTGACGCAATCTCAAGTGTCTTCACTTTCCGTGATGCCTGCTGATATTCCACGCATCCAACCACACCGACGGGACCATAGCGCACTCCAACTCCCATGTGGAACATGTTCAAGATGGTTCAAAAGCTCTGCTGGGCGAACGAAACACCGAATTTCGGCACATCCTGTGATGCCAGTACCGCCTCAAGACAACCATCGAGAATCTCTGGAACCTGTTCCCCGAACACCAAGCCCACACCCATCTCACAATGAAGACAATGAGCACGATGTTGATGCGGATGGTTACCAGGGCGACATGGACGAACATCTGCGCCAACAATCCCCCCATGCAGACGTCGACACAGAATTTTTTGGGCGTGGCGATCATCTTTATTGCAATTATCACACAGGTCTTAACGGTACGTCAATTTACTGCCTGATACTCTATCTTTAATGAGCGCTATTACAGGTAGACCATGTGATGTTAATGGTGTATTCCTCCCCCCTGGCGCTCCACCTCCACCTCCTGAGAATCTCGCAGCTGATGACTGGACGCCTTTTCGAAACCGCACAGAATTTGAAATGGTGGAGTTCCTTTACAAGCACAATCAAATGCCAGCTGGTCAAATTGACCGGCTACTGGATCTATGGGCATCTACCCTCACGAAGCACAACGACAACCCGCCGTTTGCAGATCACCGTGATCTGTACCACGTCATCGACAGTTCGCCCTTTGGGGATGTACCATGGCAACGTTTTACGGTTGCCTATGATGGCGAGAGACTTGCAGATGAGGACAAGCCCTGGATGGACAGCGAATATGAAGTCTGGTTCCACGACCCACATGAAGTTGCGCGTAATATGCTCGCAAATTCGACTTATGCTAACGAGATAGATTACTGCCCGTATAGGGAGTATTCAACTGAGGGCAACAAGCGCCAATGGAAGGATTTCATGTCTGGCGACTGGGTGTGGAATCAAGCAGTAAGTAATGCATTTTTTGTTTCGTAATGTCCGATATTAACGGCTCTATGTATCTAGGACGAAATCGCGAAAGACCCGAGCACTCTCGGGTCAACATTTGTCCCTGTCATCCTTGGCAGCGACAAAACGACAGTTTCAGTCGGAATGGGTAACAATGAGTACTACCCGCTCTATGCTTCCATTGGGAACATCCACAATAACGTTCGAAGAGCGCATCGCGATGGTGTGGCCGTCATTGGGTTCCTGGCAATGCCGAAAAGTATGTTTCAACCCTGCAATCTATTTCTATAACTGACTAACTATGATACAGCTACGCAGGAACATGCTGAAGAACCTTCGTTCCAAAGATTTCGTCGACAGTTATTCCATTTGTCCCTTTCCAAAATTCTCGATCCGCTCAAGCCGGGCATGACGACTCCCGAAGTAACGCGTTTCGGAGATGGCCACTACCGGCGTGTCATATATGGACTAGGGCCTTACATAGCGGATTACGAAGAGCAAGTTTTATTAGCGTGCATTGTCCGTAATTGGTGTCCAAAGTACGTCTTTCATTTAATATGTATTTACATGGTCACTCACATTATTCTAAAGGTGTGTTGCAAATTGTGAAGATCTCGATGAAGATGCGCTGCCCCATAGCCGCGAATATACAGAGGCACTCGTTGAAGAAGCTCCCTCAGGAGATCTTTGGGAAGACTTCGGAATAGTCGCGCAACTTGTGGTAAGTCATTCAGCGTTTTTCTCTCGTTTTCATTTACAAAACTAATACTATTTCGACAGCCATTCACAAACGACTTTCCCCGAGCCGATATCCATCAAATGATATCACCAGATATCCTCCATCAACTTATAAAAGGCGCCTTCAAGGATCACCTCGTAACATGGGTCGAGAAGTACCTCCGTCAGACACACAACAAACGGAAGGCACAGAAAATTATGGATGATATTGACCGCAGGTGAGCTCAGTTTGTATTCGGATTGCGCTTGGTCAGATATTACTGACCAATCAACGGCTCGACAAACTTTCAGCACTGCGAGTCGACTTCATGCGTCGGGGGATGCTCACTGGCACTTGTCTCTCAGCAGTCAATGCCTTAGGTAAGTCGTGCATTCCTTACGAGATATATTTCAACTAATTTGCATAACAGTTCCTGCGCAGATCAACCAAGTTGATGAAGACGGGGGGGCAGCAGCACTCGCACCTGCTCAAGCAGCAGCAGCAGCAGATATGGATGCGCCTGCGCCTGCCCCACCCATACCCGCCCCACCTCCACCTCCACCTCCACCTCCACCTCCCTTGATCAACATTGACGTGGACCTCAACATAGATGACGGGCCCACAGTTCTACAAGTGTTCGTAATGCTGGCAAAAACCCACCGTAAGTGTCCTTTTTTCCTGATTTTCAACGTGATACTGAACATACTGTACAGAGGGCAAAAATCGCGCTCAAACCATTCCTGAACTCGCTGATGAACTTGATATTCCTCACCTATCTGACCTTCTCAGACGCTTCTTATTTCAACAGACGCATCCTGATGATCCCCGCGATCCATCCGATATCCCTCTTGCTGAATGTCCCCTCTATCTCAGCAAAATTGCAGTCTTCAACTCGGCATCATCGCGATTTTATGCGCCGAGCGATTTGAGTGGTATTGGTGGCATGCGCACTGAACACATCCGCTCTTGTCCCTCCTGGCGAGGTGGGCATTCATGCAATGACTGTGTCTTTGTCAACACAGACTCTAGTCTACCTGGCATGCAAGGTCTCGAAGTCGCGCGCGTTCGCGCATTTTTTTCATTCCAGTACTGGGGCGAAGTGTATCCCTGCGTTGTGGTTCGCTGGTTCGACAAAATCGGCGATGCTGCAGATGAAGACACGGGAATGTGGATGGTTCGTCCAGGAGAGGGTGCAAACAATACTGCTGAGTACGCGATCATTCATATTGACGCCATTTATCGTGCTGCCCATCTTATTCCCGTGTATGGCACGGAATTCCTGCCTCCAGAGCTCAAATTTTATCATTCCTATGATGCATTCCGCGCCTACTATGTCAATAAATACGCTGACCATCACGCCTTTGAGATTGCATTTTGATCTAGCTACTTGTACACAATTTGAATTTATAATACTCTTTTCTCTCTTAATATGCATTTTCTCTCCTTTGTGTGGCAAAACCAATGGACCGCTCCTTTGCGCCTTTGAGAAATTTCGGAAAGATCGAGTTATCACTCCTTGTATTAATTTTTATGCCTTAGCGCCAGCGCCAAGGCAAGAAAAGTGGGATAATGAAGGAAAATCAATCCGAGGTTTTACTGATGCTTCTACCTGTCGTCACAATATTTAGATCTTCTTGGCACCACCAGTCTTTTCAATCTCTTCGACTTGTAAGGAATATTTCGTACATCGAGCAAGTATCTATTGCTTTGCAAACTTCACTACTTTCTGGCACGCGTCTTTGAAGGCATTGGCGAGAACTTCGAAATCTGAAATCTGTTTTTTATCGGTAAGAATCAAGAAGGTATCTTCACGAACAGATTTGAATTCTCACCTCGTTCCATATCTGCACGCTACACCTTGTCCACCATTTTCTATTGTGATAGTAAGGAACAGCATACACATTCCACTCAACCAACAACGTATTTATCAGCAGCTTGTTGATTTCATTCGAATATTTGATGTCTCCAGGAATGGGCAGTTCCACGTTGACCTGGCCAAGGAACAGAAGTAAATAGAGGAACATAAAACTGGATTAACGCACCATGTTCAGAGTCAAGTCGCCGTCAGGGTCCATGACGCTAGTTCCTAGGAGACTTGCCAGATGCTTTCCACCTGCAATTGCGAGATTGTGAGTGTATTCGTTGATCTTGTACTCGCCGCCGAGCCACTGCCTGAAGTCCAAGGCTAGTCGCAAGTCAAAACAGTAGTGCTGATGACAACTTTGCACCAACCTGCGTTCACACTCAGGAATGGAACATAATCTATGGTCCCGTTCCCTAGCAATCAATAAGATATGGGCACTCAAGATTGATTTCTTCGAGAGGACTAACGTTCAAAAAGATTCACGAAACTTTGTGGGCCGTTGTAATCCTCGTCTCGAGGTGAGCAATAATTGCGTGGAGTAGGTATACAAGATTTGATAACATGTTGGTTTCTGACCCATCCCATTGTATATCAATCGATATTATGCTTCTGGAAGCTTGAAACATACCGTTCTGGAACATAAAGGATTGAGCAACTTCTCTTTGCAAAGAGCCATTTGTGACAAGTCTGTTCAGCTCAACCGGTCAATAACGCAATATCACAAGTCAGAATTGATAAACTAACCGATACCCAAAAATCAGGCTTCGTCTCCGACAAGTTGATATCCAATTCCTGGCCAATTGAATGCGCGGCATCCACCACTGACCAAACACCTGCATCTCTGCAAATAGCTACCATCTCTTTCCAAGGGAGACGCACACCAGGGTTGGCCGCGATGGCGTCTATCAATGCGACAACCTTGCGAGTCTGCTGGAGGTCGCTCTTTTCCGAAGTCACTCGGCGGATATGTTGTCGCCAGTTTTCCAGTATATCCGCGTGTGTGGTAGGGAACTGAAGATTTAATGTAGATACTTGTGGATATGGTGGAGTATCTCCGAGGTGCCTAATCGCTCGGGACACGGCGTTATAAGTTGTAGTCGCTATTGTATGGAGAGAGGGAATAACATTGAGTAGGGGAACTTTCATATGATTATTCTTGACCTACTCTCAATGATGATATCCCCTTCATGCCACTCGAAGTTGCGGAGAATTGTGTTTATGCCATGTAATGTATTAGGCACCAAAACACACTCATCAGTATTTGCCCCTATGAGCTTGGCTACTCGAGTACGAGCCTCGATCCAGTGGTGAACGCACTCGATGCGCAAGAATTTGTCTGGGTTAGCTTCGATGTGAGCGCTGAGCTTATCGCACGCAACTCTGACTGGCATAGGTAATGAACCATACGAACCTTCGATGCATCGGTCATAAATCAATGTACGACATTGATCTCGCTTGGTAGAACTCACCATGGTTAAAGTTCACGTAAGATGGGTCAAACTCGAATAGCTTGTGCATAGCGTGCCCAAATAAAGGCGGGGCCTGTTTAGCGAGCTCTACATTGGATGTTAATGTGCCTTGGGCTAACTCGGAGGACACTGCGGTTTTCATGTCAGTCATGGCGTGTAGGGCAGTGTGCAACCACAGTCCAAGTCAAGTGCCCCAAAACCCACGGGCGATTTCAAAAGACTTGTCGTGGGAGCGCAAACGATGTCCATTTATCGCCACCGGTCATCCAGGCCGGTGCACCCATCAGAGCATATATCACTGCGAGCCAACGTTCCAACCGCGAGCCACGCAAATCTTGAGGTGGCATGCCGTTCAGTAGACCCACACATCGGGGATCGAGTGCTCATGCTAAGAACGTGAATAAATTGTGGCATACAGATTGATTCGGCGGGAACAAATAGAACCATGCAGAAGCCTGCAAAACACGGAATTTGAATAACGGGGGCGGAACAGCGTGGCAGTAGTATGACAAATAACACGAGTACAGGTGGCATGATACTTAAGCAGTTGGGACCAGGTTGGGACAGCGAGATGATGAAAGCAACAATAACAAGGTAGGCGGAGAAACTATTGCCACTGCCAGGCAGGTCACAGGGGAGTTACATTCTGGAAATGTTCGCCTTTACATGAGCGTAAGGCTTAGCGCGACAACAAACAAAAACTTACGGCATCAACAAGCTTTGAGCGGAAGAAATATCAGGATTCCTTCTCATGGGCCATAAGGATGCAACGACCTCGGCAACCGTCTTGTGTTTGACCAACCATTTGATACTACAGAAGTTGCGCGCTATTGCCGAATCCGACTGGGCTTGAGGAGGTTGTCCGGGCTCATTGGTACCCTTTTCTTCTCGCCAGGTTACATATATGGGGACTTCTGCGGAAGCAGCGGGGGTGCTGCTATGCTCGATGCTGGATTGCTGGTAGCGGCATGGGCGTTGCTAGCGGGTAGATCTCCCCGAACGATGAGCTGCTGGCTGACTTGCAATTTATTATAACATCTGAGTTCCACATGGAACCCACATGATTTAGGTAGACGGTAGGCGCAAGGCCGGCCTAGCTTGTACTACTGACATCAAGTCAAGTAAAAACTCAGAGCCCTTCCCTTTGTCAGACTAGCCATGTGGGCAAAGGCTTCGAGTAAAATGACAAGGAGTAACTTGCATACCTTGTGTGCAGGGTGCATCCGTCTCCGAGTCAGTGTTTGCAGTGGCCACAGATATAGTTCGTTTTCGACCTGCTCCTTCTGTTTGAGGTATACGCGTGCAGTACATGTACAGCTCGAGTAAGCTAGGCCTCACCCCAGCATTGAACATGTCGGAGGTACCTACTCGATGACAGTTTATTCGCTGTTTGAATGACCAGCAAAGAAAAATCAATTGTTAGAGTTTTTGACTGGCAGGCACCTGGCAATCTGCCATTTGTGAAGCAAGTTGTCGGCAAGATGTCGGAGTTGAACTGAGTGTGATCATGTGCCGAGTGCAAATATCAAGATTGACTTCTGGAACAACTTGAAAGATCTAGATAAGCTCATTGACTCAGTTCTAACCAGACTAGCCCTTCATGATCACCCAGTCCGCTCCCCCTTTGCCACAAGATAACGGAGTCGATTTTTGCTAGGGTAGTGACCAGAATTGCTTCCGTACCGCTGGCATTTGAATTCTTTACGTAATATGTATTAGAGTTGGTAGTAACTCCCTTCGACTACTGCGGCCAACTCTCAACCCCAACTCTTCAAGATCTTCAATTAATCTTCATCAATGTGTCATTTCACCGACGCCGCAATGCTGACTACTCTATTCGAGCTAGCATATTTACACCAAGGAGGTGTTCCCGATGAGTAATGCGAGTTTGTCGCATGATTGAACAGGAAACATTGACCATTTGTCAGTGGAACGACAAGTGCGAAGGGTACCTCGGATGCATGTGGCACGCACGGCACCAGTCCTGCAGCACTCAATGGAGGAACGGACACAGGCGATTTAGGACATCACTGTGACCTGCCTAGGGATGTCCTACCATCAAGTTCTAAGTATGCCCCGTGGCAACTTATATCAAGCTAGTACTGACAGCAAGGACTCGGAGGTGCCTCGTATTCCATGAGGGAGTGCGACAAAGCTGGAAACATATATTTTTCCGAAGAGGAGACACCAGTGTAAGCCCCGGCAACGCCCACGCAAGTTATTGGAGAATACGTCCAGCAAAGGAGATGGTGGGACAAGAAAGTCAGTCGCATGAAAAGTAGGTGAAGCTGTTCAAGGACAGAGTATTTGATATGCTTTGATCCCGCGGTTCAAAATCGTTCGGCTCGTAATCACTAGTGCAACTGTATGTTCAATCCCGCCCAAATCTCCCGATGTATTGTACAGTTTCAGACATCAAAACCTTTCGATCTCTGAAATTATTCTTATATATCTAGTTTATATGGTAGCTCACAGAAAAAATTGTAAATAGCATCTCGTACAATTCCATGAGCCGATCCATGACTGCTATAGCGCGACACGGGCCATCCATGTATTCGGAGATCTTCCTATTAGCATCAGCTCTAAGACTGAGCATCGTATCTACAGGATCATAAACCTGGGTGAGTGCTAGACCAGCGGCAGTCCTGTGAACCATCATTAGTCGATCATCGAATATATCTACAAGGAACTTGCCCAATGATCTTTAGCTCTTCCGGGGTTCGTTTTTTAGCAAGCCACATGGTCATGAGGCCTGAGGCCTGTTTGGTGTGATTTGTAACTGCCTGCCAGCGATACTATGGGTTCAGGGGCCATAAATTCAGAAATACGTCAGACTGCATTCTGAGCTTCACAATACCCAATCCGTTCTTACACCAGGTGTTTGTGGCAATGTGTAGAAGATCACGCAATCGTCTAGCACGAGATAAGTAAACATTACATTGGACTGCAGATGGTACTCAAGTACTCACGGATTAGCATTCGGCTGTTTGGTTTCATTGCCTTGCGAATGTTACGGAGGATCGTCGCCGGCCCGCTACCTCGGTGTCTGGCCAAAATTGTACCTTGATTATGTAGTAAGAGAATCGAACTACCGGTGACGAATGAAAGCGTGATTAGGCTCTTCAAGTTGCATAGTAGTAGACATCCTTCCCAAGAATAGGTGCGTCCTCAGGAAAATTGATTGGGATGGACCTTAGGAGCATGCCCAATCGATGGCTAATGTAATGTTCATGTGCACTGGATGCCTGAACGTGCTTGTACTATGACTTCTGGGGATCCCGATTGGTTATCCTAAGGTGAGGGAGCATTTTCGCCACAGGAGTGGAAAATGTTCCAATGCCAGATCCACCACAGACGATCCAAAGATTAGGCTTACGACCTGCCTCTTAGATATGTTAATGATTTGAAAATCACTTGGCGTGCAGCTGAGGAGTTAATGATGTCCCTGGGCAAATGTAAGTATCGTTGAGCGCATGCATGTAGTTGCGAAGGTACATGCCCTGTCTTTCGAGGACACATAGACATTGACCCTGATCATGATCACGATATGACGTATGGATAAAATCACCCATTTATTGGTATCCAACACGACCGCCTGCGCCCTCCACGGAAGAACTTGGTAGTGATCCCGGAAGATCTGGTCAGAATCTACCTATCTCCAAAGATCTACGTGCCAGGCGGCCTAAATTATGTTGGGGGCGCCCGGCAGAGCAAACGTTCTGCCAACCAATTTTGCTGTTATCGCACATCATGATCGCGCTCCCAAGCGGAGCTGAAGACCACATATCGAGAAGAAATCTCGCAGGCCAACCGAGGCCAACGGCAAGTTTCAGTATTACCTTTCTGACATCTCTCTCCTCGGGTTGTTCGCTAACCTTCAAAGTACTACCCTTTTTGCAACGTCCCAAGTGGAGTAAGTACATCTGGGGCAAATCTAGAGCTCGGTACATAAGGAAACTCTCGTATACCATAAAAAGTGCAGGTTCGTACCAATGGAAGCCAACGGAAGGCAGATCAGCCAGAAGATTCACAGCACGATGCAAAAGAGGGGTAAGCACTAAGTGCTAAGCTTTGGTAGTTTTCAAATTCTGACTACATGTCAAATTCAAATTCCGAGTCCGAGTCGTCTTTCTTGCTTTGCGCCCGTACATTTTTGGGTGCCCGAGTATTCGTACTTGTGGCAGCAGACCGCATGCGAGAAGACGTATCATCATCATCCTCTTCTTCAGAGTCGTCGCCATCGGTCGCTCGTCGTTCCCCCAGAGGCCCACGGGAAATATCTAAGGCACCACATAAAATCAGAAGTGCCTCGAGTTCTGCAATGATTCTTAGACTTGATATGCAATGGTATCAAGGATAAGCTTGCCTTCAAGCTGTCTTTCACGATCGGCTCCCCATGCAATAAGTTGATTCCGTATTTCCCCCTTGCGGTATACAATTAACATGGGAACTCGAGAATCTGGGAGGTCTGCAATGCATTTGTTGCCTACGATTGACACGAACTTTGAGTGCGGATATCGACTTGCTAGAGTGTGTATATGCCCAAAAGTTCTGTCGCTCCGAGGAATTCTGGTTGTTTACTCAGATGAATACCTGAGCTGCCAGGAACAGAGGAGAACTGACCCGTCCTTGTATAAGAAGCAAATCACGCCAGTGCCTTTCTCTTCTTCATCACCCTCTTCATCAATCTTACTAGCCTCAGTGACCTCCCTGGTATAATCATCGCGTCCGATTGGATAGACTCTCCCAAAGCGGGCGCGTTTCTGCTGCAGTTGCTCCTGAGCTAATCGCTGTCTCCGATATGAATCGATATCACGGTCTAGGTCTTCGTCAGTGATCTCTTCGCCCAGCTCTTTTAGCTCTTCTAAAGTAAGATCATCGAGCACGTCGTGTAACTTTGGAGAGCTCGGGGGTGAAGGGGTAGGGGGAGTAGTCTCTTTAGGAGGGATGATGCCGTACTTGCGGAGAGCATCGTTGCTGGGCACGTATATAGGCAAGTATAGAGGAAGTAGATAATATTTGCTCACAATTCCGTATCTTCGTTGGGATTGACTGCCATGGTGGAGAGGCTTTTACGTGCGCGTGAGTTGAGTTCCGCAGGTAATGCGCAGATTTCGCCGCTGCTTTATTTGGTGTTGTGTAAATTGATCATTTATTCCGAACAAGTTCATCTGTGAATGAAACATGAAGACATTGCTGGCTACTAGTATTGTTGCATTTACCCTCGCAGCTAGTACCGGTGCATACTGGAATTCTCGGCCATACCAACTGACACTTCGACGGGAAACCAATACTATAAGCTCATGCGACATCGTGTCTTTCGGCGAAACACAGTTGCACAAGAGTCTCTTGCCATCGACATCAAGGCAAATCATCAGGCAGCACAATGCTGTACCATCTGCTGGATCACTTGGCGACAAAGAGATAATACGCTTTCTATCATATAACACCAACGAATTATGGCTTCGTGCGCAGCTGGAGTGCTCAAATGACTTATCGTTTGTTGGACCAAGTGGACTCAGTGGGCTCGAGACGCAGGTGCCATTTAGGGATCAAGGGGTGTTGCATGGTGTTATGTTAGATGTACCAGTCCCGCCGCTAGAAGTTGTCAGTCTTTTGCAATCTGGGCCGTCAGACAACCGTATCGGCCTTGCTTTCTTCTCTGACGGGTGTGCGTTTTCATCTGTCTTTCTGCATGTCACATCCTCAGTCCTTGCCTAATGTACAGACACAATGCGTGAAAGAGACAAGTTTCTTGATGACGCAATGCGTTTGGTCACCGACTTGTCATCAAATCAGACGTTCTCCACCGTCAGGCCTCTATTGAACTTCTGGGCCGTGTTCTCACCTAGTCAAGAAGTTAGTGCTCTCAAATTGGTTACTAAGCTCTAGGCTGATTCATCCTCCAGAGCGGCGTAGGTGTCAATGGGAAAGCTAAGAGGTACTTATCATATCCATGACATGCATGATCCTTTACTTCATACACATTCCGGCTTAGGACTCCCTTTGGTTTATACCGCGATGGCACGGAATTGAGGGGCCTATACGCAAATAACTCTGATGTTGCGTTAATGGCCTGTGCGTCTCTCGGAAATAAATGTAACTATGCGATTCTCCTTGGTACGTGTTTTGAATCAGGAATACATCCTTCAACTACTTCTCTCAGGCTTACTTCATTATCAAAGGCAATGATCCATTATATGGTGGTAAGATATCCAGTACTTATCTTTAAATACTGCATCACACTGACCACTCTCCCATGTGCAGGGCTTGGCGGAGAATATACGTATGTTTGCGATTCCGCATTAACTTGTTATCTTCGACATACTCACAAAAGGTGTGAAGGACAACTACTGCCTCCCTAGCAAACGGGGCGTTGGTCCTTCGACACGAGATTGGTCACTCCATCATCGACGTAGGCGAAGAATATGACGGAGGATTTGCTTATTTCGGTGTTAATGCTGTTCACAATCTCTCAGACGTGACATGGACACACTGGCTCGAGCACAAGGAAGATGATGCAAACTTGTTCCGCGCAGAACGGTCTACGATGCCGATGCAAGCGTATCCGTGGACACTGTTGAATACGACTCAACCATGGACGATTTCTTTCTTGTCGTCAGGAAACTACGCACGCCATTTGATCAAGTTCTCGCTGTCTAGCCTCCCAGATCAAGATGATTTGGTTATCTTGTTCGACAAAGTAGATTTACGCTGGACGCCAAGAAAAGATATCGGCGTGGATAGGTGGCACTATGATGTTTATGAGGACACGTCATTGAGCACTGGCGTGCATGAAATCTCATTTGTCCTGAAGAACAACGCTCTTGAAGGAAGCGCCCAATTATGCAGTGTAGAGGTACTGGAATATGGGACAGAGGCTGAGTATGATGTGATCACGCCTATCCATTAACTTGGTAGATCTAACACCGATGACAGATTCAACGCGACGCTTGGTCACTATGGCGTGTTCCCGACGTGAGTGGGTGGTTTTTATGTTAAGGAGTTTAAGCTATTAACTGGTGTGAAGGTTCAGCATGGATAATGATACGTCTTATCGTCCGACGAACGACGATTGTCTCATGCGCAGCGTCACCAAGCCCAACTTCTGCAAAGTGTGCTTGGAGGGCCTTTGGCTATCGCTGCTCAAACGTATCGATCTCATCGACAACTTCAAGATAATGTGTGGGGATGATCGCCACAGAACGTTCGAGGTCGATCTGGTTCCGCTTGCCGAATTTAGAGAACATCCCGTCTCCAGCGAGGAAAGCTACACCATCGCCTGGTCGAAGGACGGGAAAGTACTTCCGCAGTTTGCGAATATGACACATGTAGACGTGGGGGATGAAGTTGGGACGTACCATGTAGATGTTCAGTTCTCGACGGAGGAAGTGCGTGTAGATAAAGATGGACTGCTTGGAGCTAGCAGGTCGTTCACTGTTACTGAGCCTTGCCTCTGAGTTGTACGATAAGATGTTAACACCTTAAGCCTGAAAATTGACCAAGTCTAGTGGTTGCCTCTCGATTCTCCGTCCACATATCCCAAGTCATGTCATACTATTAATGTTTCTAACTTTTGCACTTGCAACTCGCGATGCAAAACAAGAATATCACTGATGATGTATGTGTAAGTGAGTCAATCCGGAGTACTAGAGCACTAAAATAGTTTGAGTGTATACCGGCCATGGATCCATAATATACAAGGTAAACGAGCGGCATAAGAAGAGGGACGGATGTGTCCTGCGACAGGGCAATGGTATGAGTGGAGGAGGGTACGGAGCGCAAAGTGAACGAGAGGTATGACACTCCAGTTGTCTTGAGTGGTAAGGTATGCGGAAAAAGAGGAACCCCAATATGCAAGGAAATCCGAACGACGCGGCTAAGAGAGGAATGGAGATGACATATGTGCAAATGTGGATGAAAAGGGAAAGTGAAAAGTGAAAACATGGGACAATGAAGAGAACGAACACATGCTTGGATATCGTCGTAATCACATAACAACGCACTTGCAGCACCCAGCGCCTGTGTCTTCATCATCGTGAGGTACTTGCTGTGGTGACTCGAGGTCAGTGGATGGTCGCGTAACGTTGATGGTCGGAATGTCTGTACGTCGGTAGTGCGAGAACGGTGCTGGAGAATCAGGAGGACGTGGGGTCGTTTTCCGACGGGCTGGACGGATAGGTCTCTCTGGTTCTTCGGTGAGGGGTAGCAGTGCTGGAGGTGGGCTTTCAGGTCTCAATGCTGGTGTCTCCTGAATCATGCTTGGTAGCTTGCCGAATTCATCCATTGGTACCTCCTCTCCCCGAGGCGCACGATACTTGGAGTAATCGTAACCAAAAGTGCCAGGCGCCTGATGCAAACATCAGCAATTGGTCGGATACGATAATTGGAAATGCACTTACTGGAGCAACAGGACCGGGAGGTTTTGGACGAGGGCTGCCATCTGCTTGCTCGTACTGACCATCTAGACCTTTCTTGCGCGCAACAACCGGTAATACCACCTGAAAAGCGATCAGCGAAACAATCAATATAACTACTCTTATCTTATCACCTCGTCCCAGGTGCCCGACTTCTGAACTGGTTGGGTCCACGTGGGTATGGCGTCAACCATACCATCTCCTTCGGGAGTTGGATATGAAGCGACCGAACCGCGATTGTCCTCCTTCCGTCGTGCAGCGGAAGGTGGCGTCTTCGCTTTCGTCTTGGACTTCTTCGGTGTTGAAGGCGACACCGGTCTATTCGTGCGACGTTTGTTACCTGGTGGATGATCAGGCGATTGACTCTGCGATCGTGAATATGACCGCCGATGGGGACTTGTGATGGAATCAGGAGGAGATGGGATCAGAGTTTCGGAACTGCGTGTCGTTTCAATGGATGTATTGGCTCTGAGGGGTTCCGAGGCTGTACGTGCAACGGGTATCCGAGAGGGTGGTATCTCGGTATTGATAGTAGGGTGTGCTTCACTGCGGGTATTCTCTGCAGATAACCTGACTAGACCAGGCGTAGACGCACTGTATGGAGGATGAATGGTGACGTCTTCTGTACCGTCGTATGCGTTATAGAAATCCTCTGGGTCAGCGTCATGATCACCATCAATGTCCGTAGGTGGGCTCTCGTCCAGCACCATATCCGCCTCTTTTGCTTTCTGTTCATCTAGATACAGACTCTCCCTTTCCCGTAGGCCAGAAGCACTATCAGCTCTCTTTCGTCTACGGCTGTACTCCAAAGCGGTAGAGAAATCCCGAGGTGCAAAACGGTGCGTACTTGACTTCGTGTCGTGTCCGAAGTTAGCGATACGCAACATCTCCATGCGTTTACCTACACGCAATTCCCCGACGCCACCGTTCCTATGTACGTCTCCTCTGTACCAATGTTCAAATGGACGTTCTTCTGATTCATTGGAAGGCCGCGGAGGCGCAAAGGTAGTGTCGTGGTGAGACTTTTTGGAGAGAATAGAGGAACTGATAGAACTCGCCCCAAATGGAGCAGGTTCATTCATGATATTTGATCTCTGATGTCGAATGGTGGCATTTGACAAAGTAGGGTCAGTCTCGTCAATAATCCAGAGATCAGGAGACGTGTCAGAAGTAGGCGTCTGGTGGGAAAGGACGTCATTACGACTTTCTGTACCAGTCGCGATACTCTGGTCATGACTGGAAGTACTTATGGTTCTCCCCCGCGCGGCCATCGGTATTCGGGTGGGCTTCACGTCAGAGGTGCGGGGGGAAGTAGGGCGAGAAGGATCTGGGGTGGGTAGAGCGTGTCCGTTCGCGTAGCCGTTAAGTTGAGAAGAAGAATCGTACAAGTATGGTTGAGAAACTGTGCGAGCGCGTGTATATGGAGGATTGTGTGAGGAAGCGCCGTTGGCACGGGATGCTTCTGAAGGACTTCTTGATTGTTGCAAGCTTGGTCTGGGTATAGCACTAAGTTTCTTGTGTTCTGGAGAATAAAGTGAATTTGGGGTCTGATCTCGCAGAGTATGGCCCGAAATTGAAGGAGCGTTCGACCTTGGTGTGTCGTCCGTAGAAGAAAAGGATGCCACTGACAAACGTTTAGCAAGGATACGACTTTCGCTTTCTAGTCCTGGAAAAAAAAGGAAGAGAAGGCGGGTCCGTCAGAATTCTATGCCTGAGGCTTCTGGACAGGAACGTTATGGTATTATATACGTACTTTTGCGAAGAGTGGGCACGATTGTATCGTCCCACAGTGTTGGGAGAGCTGATTGTGCTGTTTCAGTCAAAGCCATTAAGTGAACAATTAAATGAAAAGAAATAAAGTCGACCGCCGACGTCGTCAACAACGTTGAGGACTGCGAATGAATTAGCACTGAGGCTGACCTGACCGTTAACCCGAGGAAGAAGTATAAAAATAATTCATAAATAAATATTTCCTTACTTGGTCCATCGCTTTGCTTCCTCACTTCGACTCTCGCGTCCCTCAGTTCGTTTTCCGGTTTTCTGATACCTGGACTTATTTTCACAAATATAATTTTCAGATGAGTGCAGCAGCAGCTCGCGTCTCCCACAGTGCGCAGGCAGTCCGTCCTTTCAGAAAGCCTCCAAAAATTCGCAAATTCCTCAAGCGTGACGAGAATGGTCTTCCAGTGCCGCACGTCAGGAATCTCATTGTCCGCGACACGCACCCATGTCGTCTCATGGACCACTACCACACTGCTCTTCAAGACAACTTGATGTACATGACTTACAATCACGAGTCTGGCACACCACCATCACCACGCCAAATCCGTCTCACTTACGACCCCAATGACCCTTACACTAAAAACCGTTACAACCCTCCTGTCGGTGGCTCTCAGGCGGGCAAAAAGCCGGCACCTCCGACCACTTCTCAGAATGTCGTCCATTTAGAAAAAATAGTCATTCATTCCATGATGAAGGAAGCGCTTACCAACCGGAGTAATCTACTTGGTCTCATCGCCGCATTCCGTGCAATGTCGGGAGAAACCGAGAGTGGCGGAGGTCGCCCTTCGAGCAGTGGAGTGCAGATCGTGAAGGGGAAAAAGAACGTCGGCGGATGGATGCGCCCTGGTATTCCAATCGGTGCAAAGGTCGAGTTAAAGGGACCCAAGATGTACGACTTTTTGAATACCCTGGTGGAGTTTGTGCTTCCGAGGATTCGAGAGTTCCCGGGCATAGTCATGCCTCCCGCATCATCAACAATGAAATCTCCGAGCGGCGTGGCTGGTGTTGTTTCATTTGGCTTGCCGCCAGAGGCCATGGGCTACTTCCCTCAAATTGAGGTCAATTTGGATTCGTACCCCAAGTCTTATGGTATGCACATACACTTTGTCACCAATGCAGTGGGGCTTGGTGCACAAAATCGTGCAAGGGCACTGGTCTCTGGTTTCCAGATACCCTTTGCTCGCAAGTAGATTACTTGTACGTCCGTTACCTTGTTCCGCTGTTTCTTAATTTGCTCATAATTCATGTCCAGATTACGTTGTTAATCAAGTTATTTGTTCTCTGCATGCCATCATTAACGAGGATATATGGTAATGTGCAAATGAGAGTACTGTCTGATAACGATGCATGCAAAGCTAATGATAAAGAACGGACAATAAATTAATAAAAAGCACACAGTCTAACCAGACAATAAATAGTTCATCTTTGTCCTCCATGAGATTGCCAAGATATATCACCAAGTCTATGCCTGGATGATGAGTACGTCCTCTCTATCCCCGTCCTCGATGTTGGAGGGGGACCCATGCTAAGACCCAGCATGGACGAGTTTGGTCCCATCATCGCAGACGTTTCCGATGCTGTCCGCCTGGCTTTCTTGGGTGCTATCAGACTGCTTTTCGGAGTATCATGCCCCTTGAGCAGAGACCTGTTGCCCACCGGTTTAAGTGCAGGGGCTAGTGCGGGTAGAATCTCTCTCGCCAGCTCGCGCACCAAGACAGCACCATCATCCTTGCTAAGTTTCATAACCATTTCATGCAATCCGTAGCGCTCCACCAACATCGCACGGTTTGGGTGCACGTCGCAAACGGTCCGGAGGATACGCAAGAGGTTGAGACGAACGACCGCACGGCTGTGGTTGAGCCTGTCAATGATGCGCTTGAAGAATTGAGATTTGGCAAGGCCGATTGTGAGCGGGGTGGAGATACGACAGATTTTGAGAAGGGGGTCAAGGAGGTTTTCAAAGGAGTTGGCTTTTGCGGTTACAAAGCACTTGAGCAACGCCTCAAGAGACTCAGAGCTGACCAGCTCATCTTCGATCTTGGCCGTTTCATCTTGCAACCTGAGTTTACGTCAGCGGTAGTGCAGAACGCAATTGAAAAAAATTCTGCTTACCATGACAGAATCGCCTCCAATGCGCTGACCTGGAAGTATGGGTCCTCTAGAAGCTTCAAGTAAAGCGCGAGACCATTGTGTTGCCAAAGGAGATATCTGCAGCTTTTCCCCGCGCTAGCCAAGTCGCACAGAATGGGCAACGCGAACTGTTTGAGAGGCGAGCTGGTCTCAATTACTCGCTTCAAGCACGGAATAATGCCGGCTTGAGCCGCCTCCTCTTGTCGTGACTTGTTCAACCGACAAAGGTTATAACAGGTCTGGAAAATGTGATTTGACACCTCCTGAAGTACCATCTGATCTGAGCGACGCCCAAGTCGTGATCTCATATGGCTTACCGTGCTATGAGGACCGGTCTTCTCTTCATCCAGTAGCTTGATGAGTATCTCGATGGCGTTAGTGTTTTGAAGCACCTCGAGCAGATTAGCATTCATGGACAAGTGCTTAACAGCTTTCAGCATCTGAACCAGGCATTCCATCTCCAGAAGCTCGCATGCGCGTAATAAACCTGCCATCATAATCCCAGTCAGGTGCATCGAATCTAATCATTGACACGGAAATCTCACGTCTGACAATCTTCCGTGTCCCCATGGCGTTACGTACGTGAATATCGCTTTGTGTCACTTGTGAGAACACGAGAAGGATCTGTATAATCTTGTGCTTCATCTCGATTGCATTGGGACTGGAATTGCCCATGACATTGAGCAAAGCGGAAGAGAGGGGATCGAGGAGGCCTTCGCGGATAAACATACGACAGAAATCATTCTTAGTCGTTGGAGTTTGCAATTCGAACACGCTTCCTATGCCGTTGAGAGCGTCGACGACGAGCTCAGTCTGGTCTGTGTAGTCCTCGTCCAACAGATCAACAAGAACTTTCAGGCCACGACATCTATTAGGGGATGTGAACAGGTGCATAAAGAGAAGTCAGACAAGCACGTACGAGATAAACATTTGCAACGTCAATACAGATGTGTGGCAGAGCAACCTGATGAAGTTGGATGCCTCCACGCGACACTCAGAAGAATATTTCTTTGAAGTGAAACCTACAGGATGTCAGCCCTTCATTATCAACCTCTCCTGGGTCACGACAAATACCCATCATGACCGGAATCCCACCGATGAGGCAGAAGCTTTCTAAGAACCCAAGATCGCTTGTAACCAACTAACCGACGACGTTAAGTTCATGGATCAAAATTAGGTCGCCGACTTACTAAGTTGATCATGTGAAGAAGTTTCATGAGGACGTCCCTGGAACACTTGCCTTCCAGTACCTCTAGAATCGCCAGCATACCATGTGAAGACACCAACTGCACAAGCATATCTGGGTTTTCTGTCATGATATTGATCTAGAAATGTGGCGATGCATCAGACTATAAAACCATTGAGTTTGATTGAACTGACCAGTTGATCACAAGCATCACGCAGTTGGAAGTCAGGTGCCGAGGGTGTTAGTTCATCGATCAGTTGGTTCACCATGTTGCACAACCGAGCATTCTTGTCGCGTTGAAGATTAGTCTCAAGGTCATCCTCAGCAAAACCCTCGTCAATCTGAGGAATTTAGTCAGCCAATATTCATGGATGACGCACAAAAACTTGCCTCTGCGAAAGGATCGTCTTCGTCCGAATCGTCTCCGAGCTGCATTGAAATCAATCGCCATAAAACGTCCGAAATAAAATACAGGCCTTACCCATGACTTGTTCGACAATTTTGTGTTGAGTTGCAAGGTCTGCATCGGCTGCTCGAGAGCTGCGAAGCTACAGTTCGAAATCATTCATACAATGGCATAAGACTACTTACTAGTTCCGCCAGGTTTTCCAAAGATATCATCGTAGTCCTCATCGTCTTCCTCAGCATACTTGCCAAATTCGGCATGGCTAGCCGCACGTTTTGCCTCTGCGCGACCAAAAGAGCCGGAGGCACTTGAACTAGATCCAACAAAGGAAGATGAGCGGGAATGTGATCGTATCGAACCTGTAGGTGGTAGGCCCATGCTAGAAATAGGACTGAGAGACGGGCGGGATGCTTTCCGCGACAAACTAGGAAGGGGTGCAGACATAGGACCGGGAGAACCAGAAAGGAGTCCGGGGACTTTGATATCGTCAGGATGAAAGAGTCCCCGGCGTACCGAATTCTTCATCTTCGACATTGTTCTCGGTCAGCAATGAGGAAAAGAAAGGGATGCACTAACCTTAAAATCCGCCACTTTCTCTTGAAGTAGGAGCTCGTCCTCCTCGGTTGCGATATCGGAATAGTCTTCGACGATGGGTACAATATCGGCAGACGGTGCCCTTGCGAGTGGTATTGTCCCGGGGCCAGCTGGGCTACGATTTGGTCTGATGGTCTGCGCATTATCATCACCTTCTGGTTTTTCATCTTCCATGGACGTCTTCTCTAAGGTGGAGGCTAGATAGCAACACAAAGTAAGATCACGACTCTTGTTCAATCTCGCACATACCTTGTAATTTGGTGAATGAGGGTCCATCCTCAAAGTCGTCGTCCCAGTTGTCTGTCTGCTCTTCTGGAGGCTGAAGGACAAAAGCTAGCGGCTCCCGAATCTTCTCGACTAGAGCGGCGGGGGCAGAAGGCTTCCCCGGGGCAGTATTGGGTCCTTTGAGAACAGAGTTGCCAGAGGTCGAAGCCTGGAGACCAAGGACTGAATGCTGAAGGAGCGACACCGCAGGCTTATCTCGACCACCACGGGTCGGGGATGGTGGTTGGCCTTCAGAGACGGAGTTACGACAATTTTTCTTCGTAGGTCGTGTAGGGGCTAAGGGAACATGAGTGTGGAGTTGATAAAAACAATGATAGATCACATTTAAGGGCTTCATTCCATTCCTGTACCTTGAGGACGGCCTCGTCGTAGTTGTAGTTGCTTTTGGGTCTCTTGCCGTCAGTGAATGATTGTGGTCCGCCTTCTGGAGACCTCTTTCCATTTCCCGCGGCCACGTTCATCTGCTTCTTTGCAGATATCATCCAAGGATGACGGAGTAATTTCTTGGCTGAGATTCGGAGGTTACAGTCCTTCTGAAAACAGTGAAGTAGAAAATCCTTGACAATCGGAGATGCACCATCGGGAATAGGAGGACAGTCATCCTGAACGATCCGAAAGAGCGCAGGCATGGGGTCGAGGAAGTGATATGGAGGCTTGCCTTCAAGAAGTTCGATAACTACACAACCAACGCTCCTGAATAATATATCAACATTTATGTTGATTCGCAAGCAGTTGAACTATACTTACCAGATGTCTGACGCCGTAGTTGCACCAGATTGTTCGATGACCTCAGGTGCCACTGGCGTGGAAAGCTATAAGTCGTGACGAAGACACATACAATGACAACTCACTCCAATAGGGACTGCCCACAACGGCATCATCATGAATGGCACCAGTTGTAGTAGAGCTAGCGACTCCAAAGTCAGCAAGCTTTACACAGCCATCCTTATTAGTCAAGATATTCGCGCCCTTTATATCACGATGGATGACACCTTGGTCGTGCAAGTATACGAGCCCCTCCAGGACTTGACAGATGTAGACCGCTACCAGGTTCTCTGGAAATTTACCGAAGCGTTTGCAGATATTATGCAATGATCCATTTTCACAGAACCTGGCACGGTATATATGCTCAGTTAATTTTCTCAGTTGAGGTGGAATGAGGACTAACTCGAGAATAATGTATAAGTACTCTCTGGTCTTGACGAAGCCCTTGTACTTGACGATATTAGGGTGCTGAGGAATCAATCGGATAAACGATCAGACTATAAGTTTCGAGAGCCACATACATTCAAGTTTTTTAGTAAGTCGATTTCGGACTAGGATGAAGTCTTGAACAATGCGCCCGAAGCCCTTGATAATGAGTCCCCGACTCACCATTATCTGCCCGAGCTCTCCCTTTGGTATGTTACTAAGTTGTATTTCCTTCACGGCCACGGTCTCACCAGTGGCCCAGTTAAGTGCCCCTGCATGCATCAACGCTTGCATAAAGTCTATTTCACAGAAATCTCATTACTCACGGTAGACTTGACCAAACGCGCCCTTTCCAAGAGAGTCCCCGAGTTGCTGCACACATATTCAGTACAGTGCCACGATGTGTGTCCGATGCAAACAAACATAATCATTGAGAAGCTTCGATGTGCTCGCGCGCTTTCCGGGACTGGTTGAAGTCGACGAAGGAGTTGCCATAGCCTTGGATGGGATATGTTCGGTATCAAGGTGGGTATAGAAGGATGGCCTGTGGTGGATGGACTTGGCGTCCAAGTCCGAATGACTTTAAAAGGTATTTAAAGCGTTTAAAACCAGGAAGACAAAAAGGGAGCTCGCAAATGATTCTCTAAGTTTGAGTGTCGCGTCCTGCGCTGACGAAGAGCAATGAGCCAAGGCCACTGAGCAGAACGCAGTCTGATTTGGAAGTCTTCGTTCACCTGTCACTGTCACTCCTTGAAGTGACCGGGTCTAGTAATTGATATAAATTTAGTATAAGTACATTGCATTCCGTGAAGAATTACTAATACACACAACTGTCATAACGGACTAAGTAGAGAATCGATGTAAATCATACAATGTCTGCAGTATTTCGCTGGTCAGAACTCGAGGCCGAAGGCCGATCGACATGTTCGCTAACTGGACTGTCACTACTGCGACTCAGGGTAGTTGGATCAATATCGGTAGTAGAATCTATCGTGCTTAAGCGAGGCCGAGTAGGGGAGATTGATGCATCCTCTGAGAAGGTGATGGTTCGCACAGGGGGTACAACAGAACTTGCCGAGCCAGATCGCGCATGGCTGCTCGACTCGACGCGCGCTGCGGAGGAGACAGAATGTGATCGCAATCGGCTGAGCACGATAACTTCACCTGAGGGTGTGTGTGTATCATTGTTGCGTGTGGACATAATAACACTTTCCGGCTGTAAGTGGCGGTGACCAGGTTTATGAAACACCTGCTTCTTGAGGTTCAGAGTAATCCTTGACATCATTGTGACCTGTTGACCGTGATACTGTCACTCCATGACGGATACGAACTTCAAGCCGTGCTCACTGTGAGACTGTGACAAAATCATCTCAATCAATCGCTGTTATTGGTGGTTTACTGGAAAAAAACACTCACAGAAGTTCAAGCCTATGCACAGCGAGCAAATCAATAGAATTCGGAGCAAACACTGTGATGGAGATATGCGCACTGTGCGGCGATGTTTTTCACCCCTTGTTGAGCTCTGATAATCATGACTGTTAATATCAGATTTATGGTGCAGATGACGCTGTATGCTTGGTGAGGCATGCTATCTGGAGAGCCTGGTTTGCGCACCTGTAGTACAGCAGCCCATCTGCAAAAAGAGTACGGATAATATGCCCCGCTTCTTTATTGCGGATCGAAGGAAGCGTGCGGTTCAACGTCAACCCAAAGACATACGTGTCGTAGAGCAGAGGCAACCAAGCTGAAGCCGAAGCAATTCTGCCGCTAGAAAGTATTTCAAAACTCGCATCTGCATAATTGCTGATAAGGACATACGAATTAAACACCATGCTGCAAGCTGTAAAATCGTGAACAAGGTTGTCATGCGCGAAAATTGAGTATCTCACAGTGAATGTTGTCCGATAAGTGATGAACGGCTGAGAACTATGTTGTAAACTCATCCGTTGTGTGGCGAAGATGAAACCATACGTTCACCATAACTCAATAGCCATGCAGTCACTACAATCCAAGCTAGCATTAAAAATACCGCGGGCGCGATGGCAGCCCATTGATGTTTATATATTGCAATGACGCTGTATTCTCGATCATTAGTAGATGTTTGCTGGGAGGAGAAATAAATTTCACCGCAGCAGCATCATCAACCCAGCTATCTCAATGCCTATAGCTGTGGTGGCCCCTTCATATCGAACAAAATTGCGGCAACTTAAACAATGTTAACTAAGTCCAGTGATGCAGCGCAAGCCTGACCTCTGCAATCAAGATTGTAAGATTCATCACTAACGGATAGATTAAAACATCAAAACTCACTGTGTGGTCCCATGAAGGTAGGGTATATGCTAGTAGAGGTCACAAGTGAAACTGTAAGTCAAAGGCGAGGTACTCACCAACCAGGTTAACAATGAAGACGAGAGGAGTAAGATATCGGTTCTGGAACATTAACCCGGACATGTGAGCTTTTTTTACTAGCAGACACTGTCAATACATATGCATACCAGTAGAAACAAGTATATAACTTAGAAAACAGGTTCAGATGCTAGTATACATCCGTATCCGAGACGCCACTCACAGGTCTTCTTAGGGTGTTTCCATATCAATTCAATCTGGCGCGGAATATGTTGATGAATTTGAGTTTCACCAATTTTGCTGGTGTCATACCTCATCTGCGCTGGTGATAATGTGGTCCCAGACCAATATGGTGAAACCAGAGATCCCAACATACTGAGTCATAGGATACCTATGTCAGCCACTGGCAACAACAGACTAGGAGGAAAAATGTACAATCGTTTGGCGCCTAAAACGGTGGGTATCAACTATGCAAAGACGTACAACAGCCAAGCACGGCTCACGTTTCAAGGATGTCCTGGAGTATATCATTCTCTAAAGTTGATCCTGCCATGGGTGAGTGCGAATTCAGCAGTGAAGACTAAGCAAGTCAGTAAGGTAGTATGTGCTTCAGGGAAGATTTTAGGATTATTAAACATGAAAGGTTGTCTGAATGGAATTGTGGAGGGTGGGGGAAACGTTAACAACGCTGCAAGGTTTTGATGAACGCATTTATACACGATAACACTGGATGGCATTATGCGCCCGATCCGAAAGTCCGAGTTATCACTATCACTGTGGGCTAGTAGTTAGGCTTGGCTTTTCATTTGGACACCAATATTAATTTCAATAGCCACCGCCAGCCACCAAGGCCTCGATTGATGATCGATCATCATCCGGTGTCGTACTATCATGATGTACCATGCATCGCTGCATAGAATGAAGAAGCGGTACTTTTATATATATATATATCCATTTTGAGGATGTGTGCTCTCTAGGCGTGCTCAATTCTTAAGTTGTCAGGTCAAGAGTTGTCAAGTCCCACCGTGCCTTAGAGCCAAACAATTTAGCCGACCGGGTTAGGCTCCATTTGGGCACCGCAGCCACCGCGTTTACTAAACAATATCGTAACAGTTCTCATATCGTAGTACCAGCGTGCTCATTATGCAGCAAAAACGGGAGTTTCGTGAGCTCTTAACTGTCCTTTCTCATCTTCTATGTTGGGTATGTCACAACGCACTCGCCTCGAACTTGAGCACTTTGTTTTCGCCGATGATGACAATCATGACCACAGTCATTGCACTGCTGCATTTCTCAGCGCTGACTCAGACTTCAAGTACTCGCGAGCTTGAGCATGCTATCTGGCCCTGGCTCGTGCGGCCCATATAATCAACGGAGAAAATGTTTGGAAGTACCGGGTTCTAACCCTTTCTGGGAACCGAAATTAATGGTACAAACAAAGAGCTGACAACTCTTGACCGTGACAACTTAAGAATTGAGCACGCCTTCTGTGGGACAGTACTTGCTGGTCGTGGGGCTCCTGTGATCCTCTCAGTGCCTCTGAAGTCACGAGTAGTACGCTAATGGCCTGAAGGCGTACCCTCACCAATCCGCCGTTCCCGCCGGCCAATTTAGACGCGCACTTCCGAATAACGAGTCATGGTGGCGTGTTGCGTTATCACGTTCAATGGTACTTTTCCTAAAAGCATCACAATGCCGACCCTATGCTCATACCAGGCAGGGATGGGACCAGCACGTTGGCATGTGAATTGTGGCTTGATAGACCTGATATATCATAAGGAGAGTTGATAGAAGGCCGGTGCATACAGGATCTGTGACATTATTATGTAAATCGTAGCGGCGGCGAGCCACCAGTCCCCGAGTCGACTCTGCCTGCATCTGCAAAACGACTGAAATGAATGTTTGACTTACGCACGTTACGGACACTTACGAATGCTTACGACTTCAGTAGCGCACTCAGGCGATTGGTGGAGATGCTGAACACCAATATAACACACCATATCTGGCTGATAAAACTCAAGCCAGTTGTTTTTCCATTGATAAGATGTGATTTGTGATATGATAGATGCCGATAGCAATGGATACAATCGCTGCGTACTGATTAAGCTACTGTCTACACAAACTCGGTACTGAATGTGTGATAACTCTCCTTGTCCGTGAAGTTATTCAAAAAGAAACGCTCGTAGCTTTCCAAGCAAGTCGCAGAGGACACACCGTTAGCCGCTGCATCACCATAAACTGGTATCAATTCAACTGCATGCGTCACATCTGTCACTCGTACGACAGCCCCCTCCCTACAGCGGTTACCATTTTCATCCTGCGTGTACGCGCGCTCGAGAGTCCACATTGCGAGTTCGGGGCGATCATCAGGACTAGAAATGAAGCGGAAAAATTGGACGTAGAGAAGTGGGTCAGAGAGGTAAGATGGCAGTTCCAACTTGGAACCTCGTCGGACTGTCGGTTGAAAAATGAGTTGCACTTGTGCAACGTAATTCGCTGTAGATGACATTAGTAGGGTTAGAACATAAGCGCATGGAATAGACTTACTCGTTTTGCCGTCAATACCTATAACATCAATGAGAACAGTATCGCAATTTCCCAAGGGAAAATTATCGCTTGGGGGGTATGCTTGCACCACTCGGCTTGGCATGATGACGCGTGGCTGGAAGGCTGAGTGAAGCTGCAATCTGAACTTGTGCCATACATGGAAGCGTCCGGATTTGGGGTCCAAGCAGGACTGTTCACCGCTGGCAAGGGATGAACGACAAATGAAGTCAGTGAGCGCACGATTGAAGTCCAGGAGTGCATATATCGTGCGTATGTCAAATGGTGACAGCGATTTGTAATCGGGCGTGACATTGAGTTGAAAAGCGGTGAGTGCATCTCCGGAGAGGATACCCTTGAGAAAGTGATTACGGACAGGTCAGGGACCATGAATTGACTTGACTTCGTCAGGGAGAACTTGGGAAACCCAGGAGAGTGCAGGATTGGCAATAGTGACATCTTCATCTTCAGCATGTATGGCATTAACCAGTGACGCCCCATGAGAAGTCAATAGCATGTACAGGTCAAAAATTTCCATAGACTCTTGGCGGTTGAGAATGCACACACATTGCTCCGTAAAATCCATGATTTGCCAGGACGTCCGCGGGAAAAGGTTCTTACAATGTGTGATGAGCAACCGCTCTGTCACGTCTGCAGAGAACTGCATCAAAGTCCCCAATTTCCTAATTGTACCATCAAAGCTTTGGAGAAGCTCAAGTTTCGGGATGAAAAAATCTTCTTTGATACCCTTCTTCCCCTTCCTTGCCTCGGCCTGGACGATAGCATCCTTGAAAGAGTGGAAATCCGAAAGCGCCTGCACCAATGACTGAAGAGATTGAGGTGAGTGAACTGGATTCTGTGCGAGGTAAAAGAAGTCCACGAGTGAACGGATTGCACGGATGAATCTGTGTGGAATGGCCCCTGCAATTGACGCAACGATAGTGCGTTGGATGTCTCTATGCTCCCGGCCTGTCATTTGATTAACATGCGTGATGCCTTTCGTGAAATGGCGCATTCCGACCCGCTTATACTGGACCATGAAGCGAGTATCGAGCTCATAATTTCCTAGAGCCTCTTTGATCCATTTTAGTGGATGATCTGCGAAAAACTTATGACAGGTGTGCAGCACCTCACCAGCAAGGAAGACCAATGGACATGCAAACTTCCAATCACGCCAGTACGGCATGTGAACACCAGACAAATTGACGGCTTTGGCCACTTTCTGGAACTTGTCCAGATCCCAGGGATCAACATTTTGGGATATCCCCACAATGAGTGGTTCCCGGTACGAGGGGGGTGGAGAATTCCATCACTGAAATCTGCTTGTATTGCCATGGTTAGCGGGGACAAGTTTTTACTGACTGCAGCGATCATAGTAGCCTCCGGCAGGTCGCACACGTGAGCGATGAGTGGCGTGAATACATGACAAATGTAGCGGGAGGGATCGGGCATGAAACAGCCGTCGTTTGCTGCGACCTTGAGGTTTGCAAAAACGAGGTCCATGCATTTATGCCATAGTCTGGCCTGGAGAATGGACTGGTATTCTTGATGAACGCGGAACTTTACAATGGGAATATAGGCTACGCAGCGCCAAGCTCGTAATGTTGCCTTGGAATGGACCTCCGAATCAATATTACCGATGGTGACGAAGACCGGGTGCATCTCGATTCCCCTGGCAAGTCGCGTCACAGGAGTTTTATCCGATCCCAAGATAATTGGGACTTGAGTCGCACCCAATGGGTGATAGTCCTAGAAATAAAGAAATCAGTCTATTACTCAGTGAGGCGTAGATTAACAGGGCAAAAAACCTGGATTTTCCATGCCATATCGGCACTCATGTAATCCCCGTATTCGCGCTGATTTTTGACGTTGGCAACGTAGGGGTTAAAGGTCATGTGGTTAGCAAACATTGGGTCGCTAAAGAGTTGCTGGACGACCTGCAGTGCATCACGCCAAACGAGCTCCACGGGATGGACAGTCTTATAGCCTTTGAACTCTAACTTGGAGACTTTCCATGGGGTAAAAGAAGGGAGCGAGTCCATCCAGTCTAGGAGGTGATCCTTTGTGGTAAAAGATGGTCTTGCACGATTCGGAGCGTCAAACTGTGAAATCAAGATCAGAGTTGGGAGTACAGCTTAGATCTTTGTTCCTCATTACCCATTTCAACTTCAAGAACTTTGTAATTTGGGTTTGCATAAGGTTTTTGACCAAGAATTTCCCTAATTCCCATTCACCTTGGTCAGTGAAAGGGTAATAAGCATTTATCGACCGCTGATGCGCAAATTGATCATCTTCCAACTTATCCAGCATGTTTTTACCGATCCCATAGACATATCCGGATTGTGGGTGGCAGGTACCAGTGACGGGTGTCTGACCACCTTGATTGAATATAGAAGGGACAGGTAAAGCTTGTGGTTGTGTATCGGAAGGCCAGCAAGTAGACGGAGCATTGAGATGTGAAATAAGCGCCTCAATGGATGAATATTCCCCCAATTTGCAGTTGGGACATAGCCTGCCAAAGGTATGTGTGGTATCATGAAGTGAGCAATGGGAGTACTTACATTATAGCGTAGACTTGGCTTTGACTCAAGTGTGCCAGACGTTGACAGACTTGCAGGATTGCACAAGGCTGAAATTCAAACTCCGAGGACCTCACATTTCACAGCACACAGTCATCGCGCCGAGCCAATGGAGTTTGCGTCTTCATCACCAGTCTCATCTCCTCCTCGACCAAACAGTCCTGCTTTTACCAGTACTACGTCAAGTAGTGCAACACGTGTTGAATTAACTCCCTTGAAATTCCTCAAGAAGGTCAACTACCTTGAGTCACCCCATACAATGGCTACTGAGCTCTTATCTGGCTCTGACCATTCATTTTCTCCCAAGCTATCCCCCTCCCTTTCAGGTTCTCCAAAGGTTTACCTATCCCCAGTGGAAGAGATCCCATACCTTCCCGATGTAAAGGAGAGCTTATTGTATAAGCCTGACCTCTTACAATCGCCAAAGTCACCTTCCCGGGCAGCACACTTGCATGAGAGATCATCCAAGAGGCCTATTCCATACCCTTCTAGGCAACTTCCACTTGATATTCGTTTGACAACCCACATCACAGGATGAGGACGTGAACCAGACTTTACCACTGAACAACTTCAAGAGGTATTTGTCATTTTCTTTGTTCTAAACCGTTCTTACATGATACATTTAAAGCACGAGGATGTGATATCTAATGGCCTCTCACAGATGAACGTTGACACGTTGTACAAAGCCTTTAAGGCAGTACTTGCTAGCCACGAGGTTACTTGCCTTCAAGTGGCAACATCCCTATGGCAGGTTGAGTGCGCAGAGCGTATGACAGCCTTAAATCAGGCGCTCCACAAGGAGAACAGAGCCCACCTCAATATCAAGGATGAACAGCTGAAGAAGATCAGAAATTTCTTTTCTGAGTGCCATCGCGCAGAAATTGATGACGACACAATTTACCCTCAAGCCGTCTATGACGATGAGTGCGAAATGCTTCGCACCATCACTACCCAAGCAGACTTGGTCTCAAGATGCCTGGGTCCAGGTGCCAGGCGTGAATTACTGGCATCTACTGGCGAGGGTCCCTACCTACCTCGTTTTGTTGGTACTTTGAAGAATAGGGACAGCATTACACATACGCTGGGGGGTGGTTACACGGACACCGGTACTGATATGGACTCTGATTCCAATTCTGATTCCAATCACGGTGAAGAAGATCATCATCATCACGGTGGGCAGCCGGGCCCGCAGCGCCTGTTTGGCATGCAGTTGTGACTGCCCATGTGGTATGTGACTGCCAACTCATTCACGCTGCTCACACTGATCGATATCAGTGACAATCAATTGATTTGTGTCACTGTTCATAGATTGCTATCAACTGGTACCGCTTTGCTTCGCCCGTTTTTCGCCTGCTCATAACCGGCTTCGACCGTTCATAAACACGCTTTGACCGTTCGATATGGTGCTTCGCCCACCCCGGCCGTTCATAAATATTTTTCTCCCATTCATAGATCATCTTATCATGCCACGCCCCTACCCTCTTTTTCTTTGGTAGTAAATGTTTTGCCTTGTTCGTAAATCACCTTATCAGCCTGCCACGCGTTCCCGGTTTTGTAAAGATCGTGTAAAGTACCCTCGTATGTACTATTACATTGATTCGCGAGTTAAATGCACGCATACGTTCTCACATCCTTACCCCCAACCTTGAATGCCTAGCAGTCGTGGTCCCCAGCGAAAAAGTAAAGCCAAAGTCCCAAAACCACCGCGAGGCTCTGGCCTCAATCCTTTGGGCGAACCAGCAATCGATCAGCTTCGCATTCCTACAGAACAACCGCAGATGTCTTATTTCGGTTTCGATGCGCATGAGACCACCCGTAAGTTCCTCATGTTTTTTTATCACTCAAAGCTCAACGTTCTACAGCCCAACACGACCATTCTTACAGCGGCACGCAGAGCGCCAGCTTCGAGACTACCCGTAAGTTCCTCATGTTTTTCGTCACTCGAAGCTCAACGTTCTACAGCCCAACATGGCCATTCTTACAGCAGCACGCAGAGCCCCGGCTTCGACGATCAATCCTCCTGGGACTTCTTTCAGAATCAACCGTCCTTTGAAGCGCCCCCACAGGGCTCATATCCCGATGAACACTACTCATTCCAGGGTGCTACAGGTAGCACAGCCAGCACGAGTATGTCGGACACAATGCTCATCCAACGAGGTGAGATCCCTCAAACAGATGTCATGCATGTAAGTTATTTATTCTTGGATCTATTTAATACTCATACTATTCCTTTCATCTAGACGGTGGGCCCAGCAAGACTCGCAAAGAAACGAGGGAGTCAACGGCCGATGCCACCAACACCATGGATGGCTCCCTACCCGACAACCCGCCCACAGATCCCATCCACAATCGAAAGCTCGACATCGCAGATTGCGACATCGTCAACATATACTGATTCCATTCCCACTATAATAGTCCCTGACGCCACCATTAACCAGACGATGAAGGGCGCGATGAAACTCGTCACGCGCAAACTATTTAGCCTGAATGCGATGACCGTCGACAAAGCCCCAAAATAAAGCTATGCTGATAAAGGTTATTCAGGAGTCATTGCCACAATGCTTCGGTCCTAACAGTAAGTTTTATGCGTGGATTGTTGGCATCGTACTTACGCATTCTTTTAGCAACGGTCGCAAACTTTATCACCAGTAAACGTCGGGGTGAGGTCGCAAACACATTGTCAGTGACCTGCGGAAAAGTAGTCAAGTTTGCGTGTATGGGCGCCTTCCACGTGTATCGACTGTTTCCCCCGTTATACAGTACCACGCCCCCTGTCATCTATCGTAAATGAGTGGTCGACAAGATCGCGATGGAGGGCGACGGACTCACGTTCATGCACATTTACACGTTCAACCAGGTACAGTTTCATTTTTACCTGTTGTTGAAGACTAAACTTAATCTTTTCAGGACGGTAGAATCCATATCAAGGCGAAATTCCAGAATCCATTTATAATGGCCAACGTCATTTGATTCGTTTGGTTCGGCTTGCGCCAAGAATTCCTCGGCGAGACGGAGGAAGAACAACTGGAAAGGTTGAAGTATATCTGGGCACTCTCCGGTGCTGCTACTTTCTGCAGCTTGGATGAGCAATACAAGATTCACGTGCAGATGGATCCCTTCGGGGGGATGTCAGGCAACTGGAAGTTTCTCGCTATTGTGAAAGCAATGGACGACTTGACGGACGACAAGAAGGCAGAATTTTGTAGGTTTTTGCAGTATGTGTTGCTGGTTGGACCGACGCAAGCACCGTCCTCGTAGATACGTTTTACATTGGTTTCAAATGGTTTGAATCTTTGTACTACTAGATAACACATTTATCACACTGATAATCTCACATTGCATTGATAATCTCGCATCGCATTGATAATATCACATTGTCTTCAAATCTCGCACTAAATTTTGTAAAACTTAAGTCAGGGTCCTCACATAACCAAAACCAGGTATTTACGAACTGAATTGTAGTCTAACTAAAACGGAAACTCTCACAAAAGTCTTGCAATGAGTTTTAGACTACATTTTCGTAAAGTTGGATTTTTAGATGTGTCTTTCACATGCCAGGTCGTCATGATTGGTTTAACACATGATTTTTGTTCTGCGTTCTCGTCCGCTTTTCTAGTGCGAGAGTTTCAACAGTGATTGTATCTATACCTTAAGGTTTGGTGTAGCTCTTCATCCGATATAACCTTCTCTCTTTCCTTCAGTCCAATTCCTGCACTTGCCCTGGCCCTCGTTTACACACCTCAGGCAGCAGTTCTCGGTACTGTTAAAGGTCTGTCAGACCCTATTTTTATGTTAGGATTATATGGTCTAAGAGACCCGGCCTCGCTGATGTTCTATTTATAGCACGCCTTCCTTCCTCCAGAATCCTCCCGCAGTGCCTCCCTTGAGCCTTGTAGCCCTCTCCTGACCCTCTGGATATTCCGTACATCATCTGCGATGCTCTGCGATTCCTCACTGACATCATCAGCATCCCCGTCCCAGGACTACTTAATGGTACTTAGTGCTCATTCCGTCCTTGTCTTGACTGAGTCCTGTCTCTCCACCATGACAGCTCCCAGCTTATACTCAACACGCTCGTGCTGCGACGATTTGTACTGTTGTTCACTTTGTTATCCTCGCCTTCGTTCTGCCTCACGTCGCTCGTATCTTCAATTGTCTTTACCTAGTAGGATTGGTATAGTTGGTTTGGGTGCATCTATCTAGTTTTATTTCTCTACTAACTGATGCCCCCATCACTTCAGTCTCACACCATTTCGAGTTGCAAGTCCTTGTGCTTGAACATCCATCACTCATCTGCTGTCCTGCTCACGAGGTTAGCTTCCACCTTCCAATGCTATCCACCTGCGATGTGGCTGATTGAGGGCAAGAGGGCACAAGCGTATCCTCAGCACTGCCTCGTCGACGCTTGGACACCCGCTATCATCATGCCCACCCTCTCATCGCCCATCATCCCACGCAGCACTGTGCACGCCACTTGTGTGTAGTCATCGACCATTGATCAGTGCCTGGTCTCCCACCTGACTCGATGCCACTCCCCTTGCCCAAAGGCTCTATCACCGACACTTAGTTCTTTAACATGACACCTTAACGTGTGTTGTCTCTACTTTGCGCTGTGTAGATGTTACATATGCTCAGTTTGTAAGTTAAACTTCTCCCCACATACAAAACTGACCAGCTCTTTTTGTAGCCTCAAGCACATGACTCGTCTCATGTATTCGTCACTGATGCATCTGTTGTGGGCATACTTCAAACGAGTGCATCCTGTGTCAAGTGCTGCGTGATCTCGTCTTTTATGTTACGTACTTGACGCTGATGGTGCTCTGCCCACGTCCTGCTCGCAGTTTGTGTGGGTTCTCATCCATTGACCTACTTACCTTACGCTGATGGTGCTCTGCCTGTGTCCTGCTCGCAGTTTGTGTGGGTTCTCGTCCATTGACCTACTTACCTTACACTGACGGTGCTCTGCCCGCGTCCTGTTCGCAGTTTGTGTGTGTATTGACCTACTTACCTTACGCTGATGGTGCTCTGCCCGTGTCCTGCTCTCAGAAAGTGCATGCTTTTGTCCTTTGACCTGCTTACCCGATGCTGATGGTACTCTGGCTGCATCCCGCTCTCAGCTTGTGCATGTTCTCATCTTTGACTTGCTTACCTGACACTGATGGTGCTCTGGCTGCGTTCCACTCTCAGTATGTGCATCTTCTCGTTTTTTGACATGCTTACCACTTTCCACGCTGATGGTGCCCTGGCTGCATCCCGCTCTCAGCTTGTGCGTCCTACTCCCTGGCTGGTTCCTACTCCTAGGCCAGTTCCTGCTTGCAAGCCAGTTCCTGTTCCATCTGCACCAGCACCTGCACCTCCCCACGAATCAATGCCAGCTCCTGGTGAACCAACTTCAACTCCAGCGCCTTTTGCTCCCAAACTAGTTTCTCTTGTTCTCGTTGTGAAGGATGAGTAGGGTGTTATTATCCGTAGTACTAGAATCTGCTGTGTCACTGCTGATGCCACAGGTAGTACTGCAGTAAGGTGATATTGGGTATGAGACAGTGGGGAGCAGTGGCTTCAAGCAATGTGGGAGGGCAAACTTGTCGACGCACTGAGACAAGTTTCGGTCCTACTAGCCAGCTTCAAACTCTTGAAAGGTAAATGTCCATAACACTGCATTTTGCAGTGTCATGGGTCATTTACCTTACAACAGTACCTAAAGGTTTCCTGTGACATGTAGAGACTGCTATACTACTATTTCGGACCATCGAAAGATGTTTTTATGGTGAGTACTGGGTCAACAATCAATGTTTTATGTTTTAATCAGACTTTTATTCATCATTTGATTGGCTGCTTAAGCCTCTCAAGAGCATCTCAGGAGCCTCGTGAGATGCTTGTGGAGCCACAGCTTAGGTAGGCACAATTGCCTGCCTTCTCAAGTTGATCTGCATACTACTTACTTCTACATATGATTCGCGCATCACATTCACTGCGTCACGTCACTTCACATGATCTTGTTTATCAGTTGCTAGCTGATGTCTTCCTCCTTCAACAACCGCTGTAGAGACTCGCGCCTCTCAATGCGGAATATACGGCCCTATTACCCACATAATTCCCTACACGTTCCAGCTCTTATCCGAAGGATCAGTCATACGCGCTCTCACGCGCGCGCCCTACGTACGCGCCTCGTTCGCGCGCCTTACACGCACTCGCGCCTTTCGCGCGCACTCGTGCGCCTCCCCTTAGGCCTTCGTACCCTTGTCCGTCCGTCCGTCCTATGTCCTCGCTGATTTACTGGTGCGTTATCCCCACCCCTTTCACTGAATTGACGTACCTTCGGTCCGATCTCCGCGCTTACATATAGAAAGTCTATCATAGGCTTTAGAATATATTTAGAGTTGATATGGTTACTCGGTTCGGTACCACGCTCACAAGCGCGCCGCATAGCGTAATCTCCCTTCTTAAATAGAGGGAAAGTTCCTTTTAACTTACTTCCTTCCCTTCTCCCTTATCTGAGTATACTGCAAATTGTATAAGTGCACCTTAGTACTTGAAATCCGATTATACTTCACTATTCTATCATCGCTCGCGCACCTGTTATACTTGAACACTCTCCCCCATCGCTCAAAAGCACGCTTCCGTATACGCGCGCGCCCCTCGCATCTTTCGCTCGCGCGCGCCCTTTGCGCGCCTTCGCATTTGCTTACTCGCGCCTACGCGCGCGTTATCTTCTCGCGCCTTCGCGCGCCTGTTACCACCCGTCTAGTTGGCGAAGACTCCCTCCATTACATTAAAGAGGAACTTCTCTCAGGAGCTGTCCTTTGGGTCGAGTCGTATTCTCGTATCCTGGTCTTACTGTAGAACCCCCGTTAGCTTTAGCGTTTCACCTATAGTCAAGATTCCTGACCTTCAACTGGAGCCCACCGCGAGGGACACTTCTGAGACAACCGGTCGGGTACTCAGACCCAACAGTCGTCACAGAGCTAGAGAAGAAGCCATCGCCGCATTCGACAAAGCTATTGAATCCATTGTACCAGGTCCCTTATTCCTTCAAACCCCGCGCGGTCGTTCGCGCAACGTATCAGAACCCGCAAGACCAGATCTCGCGTTCCTAGCACGCGCGCATAGGCAACCGATATCACCAGTAACGCCCTCGCCCGAAGAATCTGTCAAAGAGGAGTCGTCCGACAACTTTGAAGCAATAGATAACCCAAGAAGTC